TTGCCAGGGGAGGTTGTAGATTCTGTTTCTCGGGAGATATTCAAGACCTGCCTGGATGTGGTCCTGTGCAGCCTGCTGTAGGTGACCCTGCTTCGGCAGGAGGGTTGGACTAAATGACCCACAGAGGTCCCTTCCAACCCCGAACATTCTGTGATTCTGTGATTCATTCTGTGTAAACATCTAAATTAAAGTAAATGGCCTAGAGAAAACAGTAAAAAAACTAACCAGGAACTCAAACATACATTGCAGAACATATTAAAATGGAATATTTTATACAAAACATCGGATATATTATTCTGCTCTAGAGTAGATTAGTTGGAGTTGTGGAATTCCTGTCACTGGTGCATCATAAGAATGAATGAAAAGGGTATCACACAGCGACACCACAGGTACACTTCAATGTCCCTCAGATTAGTGGACTAAATCAGTCTTTATTTAGCTCACACTTCCGTTACCTTAAGTGATGCTGAATTCAGCTGACCAATGTTTAGATATTTAAGAAAAATGTATAGTAGTGAAGGTTTAAAAAAAAAGTGAATGTAAGACAGAATATAAAAAATATTCTTAGAAATCACAGCTGACTTGTTTCAAGTAGCTAACCACAAGATAGAGTAGTAAGATGTAGAACAGAACAGATAGGTATATCCATATGAATGGTAATGCTATCACAAATGAAGTTGGAGATAGGCAATATCATCTGGAATTATCTAAGCATGACTTAACAGATTTATATGACAAACTATCTGATGACAGTAAGTATTAGTAAGGATTTAATGTCTCAGCTTGCTAAACAAACAGTTGATAAACAGGTGTCTCCCTAACATGTCAGGTTACCTCAACGTGAGGATGATTTTTTGGCACATTGACAAATGTTGGTAAGCGTTTGCTAAACCACATAGCAACATCCCGGTTCATGTTGACAGCAAAAGGTTCAAAACCTTCTTGAAGGCCACACATTGTATAATATTTGAATGTACTGGCATCCATTCCAAGGTTCATACGACCAATCTGAGATAGACCCAGTGCACAAATCGGAACAAAACCTAAGGAAATAACAACAAAAAAAACAACAGTAATTTCTTTGGAGAACACAAGCATTCTATTTTGGATCCATCTAATATGAACTAAACTTTAGGTCCTACATGTAATGCACATGAAGTGAGGACAGTAGCAAGGATTTAATGCCACCTTAAATACTAATGTCTAAGTTCAATATAATTGCTTCCAAAAACCCTGAAGACTTAGTCAATGAATGGGCATTACACACACTATCCTGTTTATTTAAACACTAAACCTGTTTAACAATTGTTATTAGAAAGTAGTAGTAGATTTGTGCAAAAAACAAACAACAAAATGTCAAGTCAAGAGGTAATTTTGTGGACAACCAGATTTGAAAAAACAAGATTTGCTGAAGTCAGTTACTCATTTATTAGAAGAGCAGGACAAGGGGAGACAACCTTGGCTAGATCAGAGTTATTAACAAATGTTAAGTATGCGCTCTAAGGGCACTGAAGTTTCAAAACGACTTCGAGATGACGTTCAGGTATCTCAGTACATCTGTTTAAAATTTAGTTTGTCATCAGTAGCTATAAATTTGTTGCCAATCTTCATCCCTCCATCATTCATGATAGATAAACACACTTTAATGCTGGCAATTTTTGCGACCAAACTCTTTGGGTCTCCATTTACCTGTAGCAGCTAACAGATAGGGCTGAAAGGCTGTTGAATTATTTCTCCATCTCTCAAGAAACAGAACTTGGAGCAACTTCAGGGAAAAGCCAACAGTTCAACTTCTAAAGGAGAAATTTTCTTTCCTACACTTCAACCTTAAGCTTTCAGAACAGCTCTCTTAAGGCTCATTCAGAAAAACTGCACCAATGGTCAGACCAAAGAGGGACAGTGAGCAATTGCTAAGTCTTCAGGCAACTGCTAACAGGCATGAAGCTACTATCGGTTGGAGGAGATATGCTTCTGAACAAAATATCAATTACAAAACAGAATAAAACAGTTTGAAAATATTCCCTGCCTCCTTCAATACAGTTATGTGGATACTACTGTTCAAAAAAGCAAAAGCCAAAAACAAAAAAGGAAAAGTAGCCCAGACAAAGGAGAAATGCAGATCAGCTACAAATAGGACAGAGGAAAAAATATTACAAATCAGACACAATTTTTGTTGCAAAGATTTGATCTTTTGGTGCAGCGTCTCACCACATAGTACTCATTTTGTCCTTCACAGACAAGAACTGAATACGTGTGTGCTCCCGTGAGATCAGAGACTACATTTTCAGCTTTTGGGAGTTTTTCAAGGTGCTTGTTATGACCATTTCTTCTGAATGCTGAAGTTCAGTCCTGTGAGTAAGCCTAGCAAGGCTCGAAGAAACTTTACCCGTTCTGATTGCTGAAATCCCATTAATCTCTACTTGTGGTTAAAGGAAAAAAATAAATCAATTTGTGCCATATAAGCATTCTTAAAATAAATTTTTATGAAGTTAATGGGTAGCATAGTCTGAAGGCTCACATCACTGAAATACAATTTCTCAGGTCACTAAGCCATTATGACTGACTAGTTTTTATGGGTTTTGTTTTGTTTTGTGTTCTCATAGCCATGTAAGTATAAAAAGAAAATTACCACTTTCTATTCCAAAGTCAGCAAATGCGAGTTCTGAACCTTTACTGGTTATGAGCAGCTCTCCATTCAGAGTAAAGATAATTGATTTGTCATCCAAGTTTATCATACAACCAACCACGTCTCCTGGTTGCCAGCTTCGTCCAAAGAATCCACTGCCTTGATGCCAACGCTGGCCCTAAACAAAAAACAAGTAAACACCATGCTAAAATTAAAAAATAAAACACAAAATAAATAAAGTAAAACAAACAAATATTTTGCCTTCCAGGATCTCAAAACAATTTGCAAACAGTACTGATCATGGCTTTCAGGTAATTAATTTAATTATTTAATTAGTTATTTCACATAAACTAAGGCACCCTAACTTCAGTTATATGCAAACAGCAGTTTAGAACCTTTAAAAATGATAACCTCTGTTCACTGGATCCCGCTCTGCACGTGCAGTATCATTATCATTCTTCACGTCCATTAGGAGTCAAGTTTGGGAAGAAAGAATGTGCAGAAAGCAGAAAAGGCAGAAAAGGGAAAACAGAACTGTAGTTCTCTCTTCCAGTCCTTGACGAAAACTTTCTTTTATTTTTGTACAACACGATTTATTAAAAAACAAGAGAAGTGAATGCTGTATTTTGTTTATGCTTATGACAGACTTCTTTAGTCAGTTGTGTACATCCTAGAAAGACAGATATAAACCGACACACCTTTCTTAGCATAATTTCAGTGACCAAAACTGAAATGCAGATACTATCTGACATGAAACAGAGCTCAGAGATATCTTTATATGAATCAAAAATATTCCAGCAGTTCAACTGGAGTATACAGAGAAAATCCATACTGTAGTTCTCTGCCCAGCCTGTTCATAGGTCAAAAAAGATAAAGAAGTACTGACTTTGCTTCCTTCGAATACAAATGCTTGGTCATCAGCTCCCAACTCTACGTCAGGTCGACAGCCTGGCCTGGCCCAGCCAACACGCATATCTCCACCCGTCACAGCTTCAAATTCAAAGTACCACTTTCCAGACTTCACTGCATAAGACTGTTCTACTCTGAAAAATCGTATCTTGTCAATGCTGACTTTTTCCACTGTTTGGTCAGCTGTAAAAATAAACAGAGATAAAAACCCCAACTTTTATAATTAGATGAAAGTATAACTGCCACTGTTTAGCTTTTCATCTGTCCCCAGTATTTTCTATCTTTGAAAACAGCCACTATCTACTATCGCATGTTTAAGAACCTTCACAGTAAATGATAAAAAAGGAGAAACAGTAATCAGCATACAGAGGCTAGCACATTCTAACGCCATACACAACGAGTGATTATCTGCTATTTAGAATCAGAATATTTCAAAGTATCATTCATTGCAGAGCCCCAAACACCAAACTGACTAGAGGAAAGCTCAGAAGTGTAAAATCACTACATGCAATACAATCCAATGCAGTAATGCAGTATTACAATACAATAAAATACTTTCCTGTAGAAGTCAATGCATTTAGAACAGCTAAAAAAATGATCAGAAGTTTTGTTTCAGTTTGGATTTTTGTCAAAAAATTACAGTGGTATAGCAAATATGAAGAAAAGCTTCTAAAAACATTTATGCTCCTGATTTCAATTAAATAAAATTATTGAACTTGGTGTACTTCTTTGACTACTACTTAAGAACTGAGTTTGACTTCAAGTAATCAAACCCAATCTAAACACTACATAAAAAAATTATTTTAAATGAGTCCCGAATTATTTTCTTCTTTCATTATTTCCAACTGAAAACCAGTATGTCCCCTCACACTCCAGAATTTCTCCAATCTAAAATCATGGAAATTAGAACTATCGTATCATTAACTACAATCTTTAAAAAAATGTATCTAAGAAATTTACAAATTGTTTATAAAGTATATTTGCACCTTTCATTGAAGTCCACTGCAAAAATACACTACTATTAACTCATATCATATGTTTTCCCTATCTATTTCAGTGTTTTATGCTCTTTCCCCAGAATTGAGAGGAAAAAAGGTCATGATTCTTATTGAAAGTACATACCTATCTCTTGGTCAGGTGGCTCAATATTATAACCATAGCCCGCAAATGTTCTAACAGCTTCACGGAGGCTATCTCTGTTTGATTTTTTAGTACGTTCATCTAATAATGCATATGGCACTAGCCGAGGATTACGTTTGTTCTTAAGATCCTAAAAGGGGTTATAAAACAGAACAAGAAGAAAACTATGTTTAAACAACAAAAAGATTTTATATAATGAGACAGAGTGTATTATGAAATAATGTTAAGAATACAGGAGAGAAACAATATTGATGAAGAACAGTTTCATGAATGCAAGTCCAATTGTTAATAAAATTAAAAACTTGAAGACAAGAATCAAAGAGAATTATGGAAATATATTCTCATATATCCTGCAGCACAGCCATGAAGGTCTGACAGTCTGACAATCTACTCAGACTTGCACGGGAAAACCTTCTTTTCCAGCTCCCCACCCCTCCTAACTTTTCCAGACATTACATGACATCCAGTATTTACCCTCTTCACACTGCCAACTGATGTTCTAGAAAAGAAAATCTCATGTTCTTATACCAAATACACCTAAAGAAACCCTTACCTGTTGAATGCCATAGGTCCATCCTTGCTTTATTCTGTCTTTTGCCCAGACATTATGTGCATTTTCTGCTAGTCTGTCAACTAGAAATTCTTGAGAAGGTAACAATTTCACTTCAGAAAGATCAAGAGGGGCAGGTTTATATCCATTTGACATCATGTAACTGTAGGTCAACAAAGGAAAACGGAGAGTCAAGATACTCCACTGACGGTACTGAAAGTTTTCTATGTGGCATTCATAAGGTGGGGTTCACTTTCTCTTTCCACTTTTCAATCTCCCACTTTCCTATTTGTTTGAAAAAATCCTGCATTGCATTTGCTCACTGACTAGGATATAAACTGTATTCTAGCAGAGTCCCATTTTCCACCTAATTCCACCCTATCTAATTAAATGTGACCCAGATCCCTATGTGCAACCCTAAATAGTTGCTATGAAAAAGTCAAATTGCTATTAAATGAGCACTCTCTACATTTTCACTATATTTGTCATTTAAACCTTTCAAGTAATTTATATTTTAAAGATCGGCATGACGACTTCTTATGAAATTATGTTTTATGCATTATTAAGTATGGTATTTTTTATATACTAGTTTGTAAAGATTGTGTTACCATTTTTCCAACCGAAAACATCTTTTAATTATTGTTCTTTCCACTTTTTCACTGAATAATTTTTTTAGTAGTTTTTTAGTAGTAGATATTGCCCTCTCCAACTCTTCCACATAGTATAAAGACTACTCTGCTGTTTTAGATATATACAGACTCTCTCTCCCTCAGATCAGACCTTTGCCAGCTGTCAGCATGATACATGTAGGCAGTACATATTTTAAGAAGAGTCAGAAACTAAGATTTATTTGTTCTGTTATTGAAGACAATAGTACCCAAATCACTGTTACTGTCTTCAAGTTTTGTTGCAGGACAGGACTTTCATCTGTCCCAGGATGACTACAGAATCCCCACAGACAAGGCTAAAATACAGATGTAATCCTTGATTAATCTTCACCACTTTTGGGGTGATTACTACTGATGACTTCAAGATGTCTAAAAAAGATCATTCAACTATTTTAGCTCCGACTGCCTTAGTTTAGCTACCAAATAAAAAATAAAGCAAAAACCTAGTTGTATTTTATGCAATAGTCTAGACATGTACATTTCCTAGAAATGTGCGACATTGTAAGAATAGTAATTTTCGAATTTTTTCTCTTCTTTAGAGCAATGCATTAATAATGTCTCTGGAAGTGTGTGTATATTGAACAAAACTTTTCTTGGAGGGGAGGGAAGGAGGGAAGGATTTTGGTGCAAACCAAAATAGAAGTTATTGGAAAATGGTATACCCTCTTTCAAGGAGATCAATTTACTGTCATGTACATATACTATTCTTTGCTATGTGATAGAAAAGCACTGAAATGTTGCTTTTAACTTTGGAATATCTATTCTAAGATCACATAACAGAGATACAATTGCATGTGGTGTAAGTATGTGACTATTTGTGTGTCTGTGAATCGCTCCACAAGGTGATGTAATACTGCACTATTCAGTCAACCACCATCACAGGCAAAGTAATGGACCAACAATGTGCTCTGTAAATCCATACCGGATACGTAGTTCATACCTAGTATTATTCAAATGACCTTACAATATTTTTGTTTAATTGATACCCTGTAGTTACCAGTAATATGTAATAGTTATCATAAGGTACATACTTTTTAGGAAGTTTGACTTTTTTAAGATCTTCCTCAGCGGCTGGGTGAGCATGAACAATGTGGCATCCAAGGGCCAAAAGGGTTCTGCCAATATAAAAAAATAGCAGTAGTGAAAAATAGCATAATAATACTCACCCATATTATACATTTCTTTTGGTTTTAGTATAAATACGCAGAACTAATGACATTTAAAAACCATGGAAGTCATTCAAAATAATGGAATTTCAAAGCCCAAATATTTTAACTTATCAAAAATAATAAATAAAACCATCAAAGTCTAAAACAGTACAAATCTGTGGCTTGGAAGTTATGCCACTTATTAAAACCAACAGGATATGGTGTTATATTTTTCTTTGTATCTCTGTAGAGGCAAGATTTTTCTAAATAGATTTGCACATGTCCCTGGAACTTCTAGCAAAGTTAGCAGAACACACTTTGAATCAGACATTCTAATGTTTTTATATCTTACAACAGTATGAAGTGCTTGAATAAAAATTTTTTAAAAACTCTTTATTTTCTTTTAAATTTAAAGCTCACTTGAGGGTTTCAGTTGACATTTGTAGATTATAATTCTTCTCTGTCTCAGGTAATTTTGAGAATTCCACAAGACAAGGATGATGCCTTTTATTATCATCCCGTATCTGTAACAAAGCAACAGAAAAGAGTGCTTTCCTGACACCAGATTCAACCCAGAATCAGAGTAAAAAACTAGCTAATTCTTTGCAATAATACATTGTAAACAATACCATTTATCTTTACTCAATGACAGTTATTCATCATATAAATGAACTTTCCCATCATTCATTTATAATGCACACCATAAGTACTCCTCCATAACTAACAAAACAAGAAAATATAGAGCTATTTCATGTGTTCTGCATAAATACACGAAACACAAGACAGCAACCCTGTAAACTCAATTAACATTTCTGCCGAATGCCTGAGCAATGTATGCTCAATAGAGCACAATCTGATCTATTGCACACATTCTCACTGAAACAGAATCATTTGGCAATGTTTTCCAAATTTACTGGAATAATAAAGCAGAGCTATCTTTTTCTGATATCTACATAAGTCTTTGAATACTTATCTGACTCTTAATTAAACAAGCTCTTTCACTCAAGGCCAAGTGCTCCTATCCTGATGGCAACTAATAGTCATGGCATTTCACATACAAAAACATATGTCAATTGCCAAAGCTCAGAAACATTAAAAAAGTTAGTACAACTCAGAATTTCAATAGCTATGACTTTTTAGCAGATAGTATAATAAAGTTAGTGAAGAAAAAGGTAAATCAAGTCCATAAGTAAAAAAAGCAGAAAATAAGAACAGGAAAAAGATTCTCCTGAGGTAGGATACAGTTGTGATGGGCACATGGAGGACTACCCCAGTAAATCTGAATTTGAAAAGCAAGACAAAATAATCTAAATTTGAGACAGAATACACTCTTTAGAATTTTATATTACTAGGGGAAGGTAAAATATAATAATATAATATTCTGAATATAATATTCTTGGCCTGCCCTTTTAACTGTTTTTCCTTTGGTGACATCCGTTGGGCAAGGAATGCCTTGTCATATGCATTAAAACAATGTTGACCAGATGGCCTTATTCTCTTCAAGCTGTAGGTTACACCACGCTATAAGGAATCATTATAATGAGAAGTTTTAACTGTAACTAAATAAAAAAACTGAGCTATGAGGAATTCGAACATTTACAAAAGTCACCACAACCCTGCCTCCATTATCTACAGAACTAAATTTCCACAACAGACTTTTTGCTTGTTATCTCTTTGATCCCCAACACTAGAGTAACCAAAGAGTTAGCTGAGGGGTTACTCACTATGTGTATGATTTTCAGTAGAATTCCATCTCGTTAGAGCTAGTATGTTTCTCAATTATGATATTTTTTCAAATGATCAATTACTTACAGTGCTGAAATATGTACCTTCTTTATATTCCAAATTTGCCTTCTAATCACTATCACTGTATCCTGCCAGCTTACATGTTCATCTGTTGTCAGTAATGTATAGACCACGATTAAATACTCTGTTCAACTTCCAAGTCCAGATTTTCTGGTAGGAGACTTAACCTAATATAGGTGACTGTAACCTTACAGGTCATTCAAAACATACCTTGCCATACGTCCAGCCCAGTTCTATTTTATTCATTCCCCACAGTTCATGGATATTTTCAGCTAGCTTGTCCCTGATCTTTTCAAGATGAAAAGGAAGAGCAATCTAAGAAAAGAGCATAACAACTCCAGAAATAAGAAAAGGTTCTAGTTACCACACCTTGTAGATCCAAAATCATCTAATTCAGTTAAATTCACCACAACACACAAATGATGACTTGCTAAGAAAGCGGGCAAGCTAGCTTAGTTTTTATATTGTGAATTTAACTTCTGTTAAAACATATTTTACAATCCCATTATTGGATACTTAACATACCTGAGTGGTGTCTATTGGACAAGGGATAAAGGAAGCTTGGGACAGGAATTGTGTTGTACCCAGCAAATCCCTCACTCCATCAGAATCTCTCTTATATTCTTTCACTGGTTCCAGTTTCATCTTCTCTTTTGGAAGCAACGCTTCATAACAGGGAGCATAGCCAGCAGGAGGTAGAAATTTAAACTCTCCATGACGTCCACCCAATAAGAAGCGAACCCTGCACAATTTTCAATGAAGAAATTATACTCTTAAATAATCCACATATACTAACATTATAAATACATCATTTAGAAACTTAAAACATTTATTTGCATAGCATTTACAAAAATGCAGGTATATCTCATACTTTGATAAACATCAAAGACTTACCAAGCATTCATGCTGGCAGATACTATCAATAACACCATCCACTACTCACTATTTTTTATTAAATATGTTTTGGTCAAAGCAAAACTAATAATTCAATGCAGTAGCATATTTTAAAAAACAACAACGTTTCTTACTTAAAATCAAATGGTTGTAAATTGTGAAATTTTAAAAGCATTGAAATGATTTGGAAATGCAAATCTAATTTAAATTGGTCTTTACTCTAAAAAATCCCATAAGGACTATTCATATACCACTTAAAAGTTTTAAAGTAACTTCTCAGTGCACTCACGCAGGCAGTTGGCACATGAGAAAAAAACCCAGAGAATATGGTGAAAAATCCCCACTATAATCATAATACATAAATCAAGCAAACAAAATTATACCAAATACTACAACTTGGAATGAGTTTCAGAAGCATAACTAAGGTTCCTATAAAGCCCCTAACATTTTCTGTTTCTCCTCAGATATGTATTCTTCATATAAATCTAAGAGTATACCAGGAAGAACAACAAAGACAAAAACTGTCCAACTTCATACTTCTGTCCTCATGTAAGCAAACTCTATAGGTAAACAACCACAGAAAATTAAGAACAATTGTTATCTCTAGGAAATAGACCATACATTTGTTGTGATGAAGTGACCAGAAGCAGCCTATATCACCATTTATATACATTTCTAGAAACACTAGAACTATCAGATCAACACATTTCATTAATAATACTAAAAGAGGAGTAAAATGAAGACACACAGTTTTTCTGAAACAGGATGTACATAAGCACATGTCACATATATCTAAAATGGTTCAATGTCCACAAGTAATATATTATTATTGATTCTTTCTATTAAGCTTGAACTATATAATTGCATTTTAAAAATACATTGTTTAAAATTGAATGATCCCAAGGCAGCTAAATATTTGAGATGCCAACTTTGAGCTCAGACTTCTCTTTATGGCAAGCTGCCACACAGATCAAAATACTTTAAAAATAAAAAGGAGGTCAATTTTATTTTAAGACCCAGAAGTCTAACTTCCTAAATAGATAAAAGTCAAAGAAAATCACAATGAAAAAACTCTCATGCAATTCTTCCCTTGCTGACCTCACCCCAGTAAATAGCTCCTTGCTTCCTGCCAACTTGGTCAATTTTTCTGAGTTGTAGCAAACCATTCAATCTCACCTGACCTTTATGATGCTCTCATTCCTTCCGAGGCCTGTTTTCTCCCTACTCTTCGCCACAGTATCTAAGCCTCCACAGAGGCTATATCCTCCTAATGCTGCACAATCTCTTTTAAAAACCTGAACACTCCCAAGAAGCTGTGTCTTTATGTCTCATTTTAAAGGAAATGTTCAGATCTTTCAACTTCAAAACTTGCTTTAATTTCTCTGACTTTAACCTTAAAAAGAATGCTCCTGAAAGTCAAGTATAAAGTAATATAACTCCTAAAAGACAGATAGAAGTAGTTAAACAGATCGATTTAGGTTAATTACTGCTCCTTTTGCTTCATTTTGGAGTTAGGCTGTACATAGGAAACAGCATCTACGTTCTAGCAATTTGCTAACAGCTATACTTCATTTTTGTAGCCTCAATGATAAGACTATGCTAAATATTTTTATGCTTACTACAAAGGCTGTCTATGAAAGACAATACCCCCATGATAACAGCATTTAATGTACCTCATGTTTAATTACTAAAAGTACCAGGCAATTACTTTTAAGATGCTGACTTTTCATGTCAACACATCCAGACCCCTAACTTCCCTAAAAACATGTTGGCAGGCTCATGTAAAGTTAATCTCATATTCCATTTCTTTATCTGCATTAATACCCTTTTTAAGAGGATGTTAAAAAAATCTGAATAGAAGAAAAAAAAAAAGAATTCTCAACGCAGAGTTGCTGTCTAAATTCCTTGATTATTTGAATGGCCATATTGTAGTACTACAAGCAGAGCTCATGACATCATTGGTAGAAGGAGCAAAAAATTGATAGATAGGGAGAAAATGCCTACAGTAAAAAACAGAATAACAGACAGTGTGGGTAACACCCCTAAACAAGGGTTTAGAGAGGAAAAACTGATGGAATGATGAAGCAGACCCAGAATCAGAGACTGAGAAAGTCACAGAAAGCAGAGAAAAAGCAGATAAGCCACAACAGAAGTAGAAACATAAGAGTTTGTGCCCAGTGCAGAACACTTTTCTCCACTGATGAACTCGGGATTCCCACATAATAACATTTCTCTGATATTAACAGACACAGAAGATGACATATAACCTGCTACTGCCATCATCTACTTTTATCTACAAGGGAAAATGCTCTCACAAAATATGTAAACAAAATGAAATAAGAATGAAGAAAAATAATTACACCAGTTTATGCAGATTTCTTACAAAAAAAGTAATCAACCTTTTCAAAAGCTCTTCTACCAATGCAGCTACATAGTAGGGTCTTTCCCAGAGAATAAGTGAAAATTGATTTATTAAGCCTTTCCCAGGCCTCCTTCATTCCTTTATATATCCTTTATTTCTTTATTCTGTTTGGCCTCTGTTAGTATTCTCACTTGGGAGTTTCTCTTAAGCATGAGATGCTCAAAGTATTTATGTATTGATCACAGAAGGAAAAGGCCACAGAGAACTAGTTGTCTGATATATTTCCCCTCAGAGAAACAAAGATTTCTCTTGTCTTAATTGCCAAATGTATGAACCGTTTATAACCTGAGCTTTCTTTCACTTATGAAAGCTATATAGTGTCTATTCTGGCCACATCGAAACTTTATTTCTCAAAAATTACCATGTGTAAGAGAAACCCTCCTCTAAATAAAAGCCAGCCCCCTCTGCATCTTTTCACTCCTTCACCACAATCTCTTACTCCTCTCCTGATTATTTCTTCTAAGTTTGGCAGTTTCTAGCAGCTATTGACATCTAGACCCTTAGCGTTTTTTCATGGTGAAAAATTTTCACAACTTATCCATATTTTATGCAGAAATCATTCCCCGCTTACAAAAGACAGAAAAATGCCAACCTTTCTTACTGAAGAATTGTTCTGAATTATCTTTACGTCCTTCCTTCCCAAAAACATTGCCTGTCAATACCAGCTATAAGATGAACTGAACAAAATTGGTCATGTTATAACAACAGTGCAAGAGCTAGTCTTTTGTTGATGTGTCAGCTTTGTAACATTAACACAAGTATTTTGGCCACTTTAGTAGACCAACATTTGCAGAAGATTTTCTGAACAAGTTAAAGGTAAGATAACAATAGAAGCCTGAAAATGGTTAGGTGAGAATCTCAGTATTTTAGCTACAAATCCGGTAAGAAATAGGCAATATCAGCAATGAGATTCCAAAACTGCTCATCAGTTCATTGTGTTTTCTACTGTGAATACAGTATCAGTTTTCATGATGATTTAGGTTTTTTACTTCATGCTGAGAAAGCCAGTGAGAATTATAATTGGTTCCAAATGTGGTGCTGTGTTTCTCATGTGCTTTTTTTTCCACTGATAATTGGAATGAGACAAAATTAATTTGCCCTAGGTCACCAAATACCCATAAAATTATAATTTTCAGATGCTGTGACTTGGTCAAATTGCTAACAGGCTCACATTTCACCTTTAAGTGAAGTCATCACTAAACAAATCAGCACTTGCCTGTTTTCTTCCCTCTCAGCTGCTGGTTGGGTAGAACCGAAACAACAACAGAGAACAAATCATACATAAATTTGGACAATATTTTGTGTGACAAGACAGCAAAGAAAACAACAATTAAAATTAAATTGTACTTACTTTACACCTGCTGATAAGCTTACAACAGGGAAGAAAAACCCTTCTGTACCGAAGTTCTCAAACATTCCTTGCACAGGCTGTCCATTAATGCGGAATGAAATGCTGGGTACACCTAAATCCAAGCAGCAGCTAACCACATCATCAGATGCTAATAAATGCTGATTGACAGATGCTACAGCTCGGGATACTCGACCTAGGATAAAAGTATTCTGTAATCAGAAGCTTTAAGTAGACTCTCATAGGTTTAACAATGAAATTATTTCCTCAAAAACACCATGAAGTATTTTGTTTGTAGTCATGAAGACATGATCTTGCCTTCATCTGTTTTATGAATGGTTCTGCTTTTAGAGACAGTGAGTCAACATTCTTCAAACTGTTGTGTGGCAGAAAAGTGCATAAACTAAGCAAATCACTTGAGACCTCTGACACTGTTTGCAAGACAGAACATGCTCAGCTGAAATCACGCAAGTTCACACTGTAGCCTTATGCAAGAGTACTGCGGCACAGTAAATGATGCCCTCTTTATAAAGCTAACATTTATATATCCTTTTTTTTTTTCTTTAGTTATTTGTGAAATACCGGATTCACTTCTCTGTGAATATTCATTGGTGAGACACTGGAACAGGTTCCCCAGAGAAGCTGTAGACGCCCCTCCCTGGAAGTGTTCAAGGCCAGGTTGGATAGGGCTCTGAGCAACCTGATCTAGCACAAGGTGTCCCTGCCCATGGCAGGGGGGTTGGATTAGTTGATCTTTAAAGGTCCCTTCCAACCCAAACCATTCTATGATTCTATAATTCTACTGGAGCTGTGATTTATGACCAACATCCAGGTTTACAGTATCAAGAGGCAGAATGGTATACTGAGTTATCAAAAAATGGATTCAGACTTCAATGTGCCAGGTTTTCTTTATCAACTACTGCCATACAGTAAACAAAAGGAGCTTCACTTTCCCTGCCTGGGAAGGTGAAACCTTACAGCTATACATAGGGCTCAGCAATTACAATAAAAATTAACTAGAGACAATATACCTGAAGTACTCTAACTATACACTTTTACAGATAACTGCAGTTTTTTCACTGCACTTGAGTATCTGAGTATATTTTTAGCCAAGGAATATCTCTTCAGAATTCCTTTCAAAACAATTCCCTTGAAAACATTGTATTTTAGCTGCAAAGCAAGTCTAATTAAACAGTTAAGCACTATTCCAAATTACTGTGTTTGGAACTTCTTAAGAACAAGTTAACTGTTCAGGACAGTTTAAGCACTCTGAATTTTCCCTTACTGCAGGAGATGAGATTTAAGAGACTATCCAGCATTGTATTTCTGAGTTTCAATTAGTGTTTAATTTCGTATTAATGATTTATTCAGCCATTCCTAATGGACTATGTTACAGATGTCTCCCAGCCTACTTCCAAAAATCATTATTTCTGTCATTTGAGATTTATTCAGTAGTGCTGAAAGAAAATACTGAATTATGTGTGCACACACAGAGAGATATTTTATATATTAAATCCTACGCTAGAACAATGCTAATATAATTGAAAAGTCAAACACACTCAAATCAGGAAATGTTAGAATTAAGGCCATAAAATTGTACATATTTATGCAAACTGTATTTACAACACACCTTTTAATTTCATGACCCCACACCATTCTTTTCCGAGCAATTAAAGAGTACTTCGCTATATATGGTGTTTCCAGGCGCTAATAAATATGGGGAAAATAATGATTTTGCCTACATGCCTTGAATAGTATACAGTAAATAAAGCACAGGCCACAAATTGAAGAAGCTAAAAAATAGCCTTCATTTACTGTACGCAAGAGAGATCTGGAAGGAAAAATAACATGCTACTTCATAACTAAAAATTTTACACACAAGGACTGAAATGTCTATTTTTCCCACAAACTTCTGAATGCTCATGGACAGCTACCCACTTGAGAAACAAAACTACTAAATTAAGACAGATCTATATAGTTTGCTGATACTGAATCTTTTTGTAAGTCTTATGAACAAATTTAAAAGGACTTTTACAGGAAACAGAAAGCTAAATTTCATAGAAAGCTAAAGGTGAAACAAATTGGTACAAAATGCCCTTTACAACAAAATGTTACATTCCCAACTCACTGTTTGAACATTCCAGAGAAAAGGTGGCCAGAAGTGTTTAACTTTGGAAAAAATGTCCACATCTCACTCCAGAAAACAAACTCAGTTTTCAACTCAATTCTATCCTGAGGCAGAGACCCAGCCAATACAGTTTGCTCTCAAACAATTTACAACTAACAAAGGTATAAGCCAGAGAAAGTACAATTTCAGACCATATTAATACAATGTTAATAAAAGGTTATCCTCCAGTTTCACCATATTCTTAACAAAATCTTCTATGTGAATGGAGGACCTTTATAATTTAAGATGGATTTTTATACATTTTAGGTACAAAACCCAACTGCCAGAGCTCTGTTTTAAATTTTTATGTAAGTAGAACACATTTTTAAAATACTCTATAAATTTTAGCAACTGTTCCACTTCCTATTGCTTTTCTTTGTTCTTCCATTATGCATTGATAGTTCAATTAAGAATGAAGTTACAAAGATAGTACATGATCTAATTAAGGGTGTACAACCAATTACCTAAACATTTTCATATTTTATAGCCTTATGCATTATTTCTACTCTGAAATGTTCCTTATTTAAAGAGCATTTAGGAACTTTAAGAAAGCAAAAACAACCATCAGCATTTTCTGACTTGTCATTTGATTCTTACAGTCCACCAATAGCACTTCGCTGCTTGTTTCTATAGGAACAAACACTGACACAGTGAAAAGCTATTCTGCTGTGACAAACCTGTCGGTTTACATAAAGTATATTCTAGTGCCCTTTCCCTGAATATAGTATTGGGGGAGTGATAACCACACAAAAATCCAACAGCCTTGCTCATAGCTCCAAAGCCACTTTCCAGCTAACTCTGCACCCCAGAGGGCTCTCACTAATTCCTCTCCAAAGCATCCTAAACACATTCTTCTGTTCTCTCCTTTTTCTTTAGTGGTTATTCTATATAACACTCTCATGGATACAAAAAAAAATTGAACTGCAACACTTCAGATGAACCCTCCTGTAAACTCCTTTTACTCTTCTAGAGCTCATACTCAAATCTACCCAGCTGCATAAGCGGTGACTTCCACTTTCTCATTAACTCAGCCCACTAACATTGTTAATGTGCTTGAACAAATAATGGCTAATAAGATGACAAATTTACCATCACTGATCCTTTAGTGACAACAAAATATGCATTTGCTGGCATCCATTAGCTCCCTTCTTTATAAACTGCAAGTGTAATCCTTTAAGTGCAGTAATAATTGAGAGTGTCCTAGATTATTACACACAGTAAGAAGTATTCCTAGAAAAACTCTATTTTTTTTCTGCTAAGCCTATTTTAAACAATATGAAAAATACTTTTTCGAACAGCACAGCAACTACAATTTTTCATTTTGATACTATACTACAGAAGTTTATGTTCTATAATCAACTGAAGTTGGTAATAGTGTAGCAATTCTTATGTCTAATTGCCAAAACTACCTTTTACGAAACTATCAATGTAGTAAATCTATCAAGAGGTGTGAGGATAATATAATTTTATTTCAACTATAGATACAAAGTGAAAGAATTATGCAAATGTATATCCACATACAATAAATTTGTCCAGAAAATGCCTTTTTTTAAATGAAAATCACAAAAATAGAAGCTATCTGCTAAAAAGCCTAAAAGGTATAATTCAATATTGACTAAACTCTCAGACAAGAAGTCTGACCTGAAATTCTAAACAACTTCACAGCACCCTGGTGTTCTGAATGTAGCTCACTACAGCATGCTATATGCACATATGTACTGCAAGTAAAGGTAGGTAACTCCTAAATGTAAGAATAAGTGGAAGTGAACAAAGAACTTACCAGACCACAGATGAAGACCATCAAAACCATAAGAGTACAGGTCATCACCAACACCATTGCCTCCCCATCCTTCCCCACCTCCAGGATAGGGGGCATAACCTGAAGTAGAAGCCCATCCAACTCGTAAATGGGTGGGTTCTGCCGTCAAGAATGGATCAACTTGGTCAATTATTAACTCGAAGTACCACTTCTTGTATTGTGCAGAGCCCTCCGCAACACCCAAAAATATGTTTGGCCTTATGCTAAGAAAGACAATGTAAGCCAGTTAGTGTATACATAAAATGCGTCATACGAATTGTATTGCTGTATTATCATCAAATCCGTTTTGCAAATATGGTAAGAGTGTAGATGTCCACATTTTACTTATCATATTTAAGATAGTGACTCATTTTATGACTTTATAAAGCTGCTGTAGAATCATATTCTAAAGAATAGGTTCCATGCTTTGAAAAACTTATAGTCAAAAGAAGAATAACAAGATCATTTTCTAAAATCAAAAAAACCGGAGTGAGACTGCCAGGAAATCAAATCCCTCTTAAAACAAACTAGTACTTCACAGTATGTTTACATTCTCCACAATAATTAGGTAAACCCATGCTCTGTTTTGAACAAGAAACACGAAACATTCATCTTTGCATTTCAGAACAGATCTTACGATTAATTAGCAGTTTCTATTTGAGCATAGTTTCCATTACAATTTGCTGTATTGTTAGTAAAACTGGGTTTTTCAGAAGCTAATACATACACACTTCCTAAAGAGTGTGTCTCAATATTGAAAGCTGTGGAACTTCTCTTAGGTTACAGTATTTTCTTCAATTAATTATTGAAGATGTGTAAGTTCCATCTTTTTCTAACATAATAAAACATGTCACTATACCTTGTCACATCATTAATCAAACGTGTTTGCAAGAGTAAATCTCTTCTAGGGAGTAGATTGTCACAGATCAGATTTTGATTGGCACGAACTGCAACTCCATTACAGACACAGAGAGAGCAAAGCACGTCGAGAACCTTAAAAAAAAATAATCAGAAGAAAATCGGGTAAAGGCAGCTGCATATAGTTGTCAGCTTAATTTACATTCAGCATAGACCTAAAGGAAGGAATACAATACACATTATGTTTATTGCTTTCTAAATACTTTTCACATATATGGACCGAATGTAGCCCGTACTACTGATAGAGGATATCAAACATTCATAGAACACAAATTCAGAACGCAGGGTTTGCAAAATGTCTCAAGAAACCTTCCTCTGAGATTCCTTATTCTCAGAAAAAAGCAAAGCTACAATAGCTGTATGTTAATTCTTTACATTTTTTTTAATTAAATATCTTACAAGATTTTAAATGTAAAATTAAATTATTTGAGCAATTTGCTGTAGCCCAAAAAACTTTCTAAGCCAAATTAGTGGACAATTCTCAACTGCAGTTCTCAGACTGCTTATGAATCTGTTCTGAAAGCATGTTTTCAGTATGAGAAGTAATTAATTTACTTTTAAAATGAAAAACATTTGAAAGAATTCACTATAAAGTAAAACAGAGTTTGAGAAAGGTATAAAATATCAGCTTTCTTTTTTTGTTTACAGTCTGAAAAGTGAAAGAGATTGACATAATTCTCCCACAGATTACTGGAGCAAAAGGTTTTGCAAGAGAGAATGCAGTAACATAGTGTTGTTTAATGCTGAGGGACAAAGTTGCACACTTTTGCAAAAAAACAGAGAAGCTGGAAGATGTGCTTGAGCTCCGACAAGAAATCATTGAGCAATAAACCCAAATGGTCTAAACTCTTACAGACCATTTCCAAGACAAAGAACCATCTTCACACTGCTGATTACCATTTTGGAAACTGTTGTACAACACAAGGAACAGCAGAACACATAATTTTTTCAGCCACTCCTGTTCTCTGCCCAGTGGATTAGTGCAAAACCACCCTCACCAGCAGTTTAAGCTAATATATTGTGAAGTTTATGTCCCAGCCCACGTATTTTCCTTTCTACAATCTCTGTTACTGGGCAAAAACCTACAGCAGAAGGATAGAGGTAGTAACTTCAATAGCTGGAGAAACTCTGATAAGTACTCCGCTGTCAAGTGTCTAATAACATTAATGATTATCAATAACTCAGAATTTATATATGAACTGTTTAAATAATCTCTATGCACTAGTTGACCATATTTCTCACACTAGACTTTTGATTTAAAAGTCCTTCAAATCAATAATTTCCAAGACAATTTTAGTTAACAATATTACTATTTCCTAAATCACAAGAGAATTTCTAATCTATTAGGAGAACAAGATACACTGTTTCCACAGTAACAAATAAATTCATTACTTCACAATACTTCATTACTTACTGATGTTTAGTCAAAGACATTACAAATGTAAATGTACAAATCACCCAGTCTAATTCTTCTTCTGTATACAACATTTTCCTTTTCTGCTTTAAGTTCTCACATGAGGTCTACATTCAGACGCTCCAGCTGAAATGTTCTCTTTGCAGGTGACTGGCACAGCACAATAACCTCACTAACAGCTAAAAATAGTATGCTAAACTTACCGCTGTAATTTCATCTTTTTTCTTATGCCTACGTATATCAGTTCTTACTCCTTAACCACGCTTAAAAATACCTCTCTCCTTTTCCATATCTGTAGTTGGTTAGGTTCTCCATATTACCTTCTCCTGTAAATCAGTAATTTCAGCTCACTAAAGCTTTCTTTATTCTTCCTCCAGGTTATCAGTCTTTCAAATAAAATTTTAATTGAGGAAGGAAACTCACATCAGAAAATCACACATAAAACTATATCCTCCTCTGTGTTGTGATGTCATCCTGATCGCAGCCAGAAACTGTGTTCACCTTCTTCTGTCATAATAAATTGCACATTGATGTCTAAATTAATTTCCATCATTATTTCTTCTGGTATAACTCAGGAGTTTTTTTCTTTCTTCTGAACACCTGTGTTTTCAGATATTTGGATTATTTTTCCAATTTCTCATATTATTTTTTTCTGCTACTATTATTATTACTCAAGTTAGGAATGACTTTGCAGTATTTAGTTCTGTCTTTCTACAGATACAACAATGGTAGTTCACTGCTTCTGCAGAGCCCTACATCACAAGGCAAGCTACTCTGTCCGTGTGCTTACAGCCACCAGAATGCTTCATTTTCTCAGCAAATCCAAAGTTCTGACTGGTTATCAGTATTTCTTTACTATTTGCTTGTCATACACATTTGCTGTATTTGAAACTGAAAAGCAATTCTATATTACACATTTTTTTAATCTCAGCAAAGCAATTTTGCAGATGTACTTCAAGGTTATTTTATTCCTTTAAAGGTACTAGAATCACACATTTCCTTGTAGACAGTCCTCCTTTTTTTTGTCCACAAATCATTGTAAGACTATCCATACATCCTTAGTTTTTCCAAACAAACCTTGTAATTACGCCCATGTTTATCCAACAATGAAATAATGGATTTGATGTGGTCCTCAGCTATTATATTTAAAGCTTCTGGGCTTTCAATCAAGATGCAGTGCAACACTTCCAGAATACCTGTATGATGGCCACAGAAATAATGTTGTCATTATATTATCTGCGCAACTGAACACAATCTAAAAGCTTAGTATAAATAAGAGTATCTTAAGAGATGCTCTTTCCTCCAGCCTAGCAAGAGAATGAAAACACTAAAGAGTATTGATATGACTATGATGTGAAGCACATTAGACATAAATGTATTATGAAGCTGTTAATTTCTGTTTTCTTTTGAAAATAGCCACATTTTTAAAGCCACTGAGAAAAATGTAAGTTTAGCTCCTTCTTTTCAATGAGAGTTAAAGGCTTTAGTAGGGAGCATTGTATAGTACTCTGATATTTCACTGAACGCCCCATAGTGAAAAACACCTTCTCTCTATAGATAAACATTTTATTTGTACTCGTGCCCACAAATGACTCTGGCTTTTGATAGGAATGGGACCATAGTCTTCATAGTGTCTGATCCAATCCATTAATTCACCAAAGTCACGTTCAACTCTGGCTACGGCATTGCACATACCAAATGTATGGAACCAAAAAATGCCACAAAAATGTCTGTCTAAATGTAATACTTTGCTCAGTTAAAAAAAAATGCAGTGTATTTGTTTTCCAGTGCATGTGATTTTCAAGGAAAACTGCTCTGGCATTATAATGTAAGACAGCTGTGTACGGTGCATTAATAGTTAATTTATATTGATAAGAGTGAGTCTCACCTGAGGAAGATTCTAATCTGTCCAATTTGCTTATTAGCCAATCGAGGTTACTGGAAAACTGAGTACAATTGTTTCTGTTGCCACGAATGAGAGCAGCTGGAAAAAAACCCACAAGGTATAATTTTATAACAGGAGATTTCCTTTTTAAATCATCAATATTAATTACATATATTTTAACACAATTTTTATAGCAACTTCACAAAACAATAAACACAGACAAGTCCTAAAGATACGTTATGGTAAAAAAGAATTAAGATTTTCATTAATTTGAATATTGGCAACTGACATAACTTCTAAAGAGCATGTAGTTTTTGAACTTGACAAGGGTCTATTGGATAAACAAGATTTTCAGTGAAAAAATTATGTTTCATTTATGTTTTATGTTATTGTTAAATTTAAACAGAAATTATCCACCACTCTTGTTTGATGCAAATGTCAAGCACTGTCACAATAACGAGGCTGAAATACTTCTTTTTTTATTTTTTCCTGTCATCGAGCGGGAAGATCATATGCAGAAGTTTAAGCTCAAGTGAGGCTGGGTATACTGCTCTTTAGCTCTACTTTCTGATTAAAACATGCTATGGAATGGAAAGCTTTCAGTCTTCACCAGCGCAGAACACCATGTAATTTGACTGCACTTTGAAAGTTGATCAGCATTCAAGTGTTCCAAGCAATACTGATTTTTTTCTTCCAGATCATAGAAAAAACAAACAAAAAAAGCCTTTTGTATATAACATTCTAGGACTTTTATTATGAAACATTAACTGAATATTTATTACATCAGAATAAGTGTGTTCAAGATGTACTCACAGAACAAAATCAAGACAAAACCTGAAAAGGCCTACACAGCACTAAAGAGGTTTTTGTCATCCTACTTTTCTCTAAACTCACAAGACTCCAGTAAAACGCAGGCAATGGTATCTCATTACTTCCTAAAGCAATGAGAAGATTTCAGCAGCAGCATCTGCGTGTCTGCGCCACGTGAATAACCTCATGCTTCAAAGCACTCCCCCTTGGTTTGTTTTGTTCTTGTCCTAACTCTCGACTTGTGTATTTTAATATGGTTCGGGACTAACTTTCTTTGTAATGAAAGTAGAATGTATTTAAACTCCATCAGAAGACAAGATTCTCCTGTATGAGGAATTACGCAACTCGTCTATCAAATTAGTGATTTAAAGAAACACAAATACACATACTTCTCCTGTTCTATAATTTTGGCCGTACTACAACACAGAAAGAGTTCACTTTAGAAAGCATGGCACTGAAATTAAAAAAAAACTTCTAATTTCTGTTTTCTGTAATTACATTTATAAACATTTAAATCTAAGCCTCAAGTGACAAACATGGATTCAGCAGACCCACAAGTTCTGACTATTACTTTTAGGCTTCTCTTCAGCTTCATATAAAAAGACTGTTTTCCAGTTTTCCTAACTTTTAAAATAATAATTCACACCTATTTGCATACCACAGGTACATTTAAATTTAAAAAAAAAAAAATCAAACAAAAAACCCGAGGCATTTGGCATGCTGCACCAATCTTTTTCCTAGCTGAGATTTTTTTTTTCCTGCTGTTATCGTTGGTCAATAAACTCTGTTCTCTGTAATAAATGAGTAAGTATATGCAAGAAATTCTGTAATTTACATGATAGAATAAATAACACAAAAAGTATTCTTTGGCAGTGAAGCAGCAAGTAGAATATAAAGAATACATATCCTTTTTTTTTCATTAGTAGATTATTGAAGAATTTACCTAACAATTTGTAAAGGAGATTCAAAATTTGTTTCCATGCTGTACCATGTTCTTCTCTTGAAATTCCTGCGAAATGAGCTGCGCTGTTGTAGTCATTTAGGCGATCAATGCAATTCAGAACTAATGCCAGCATTCCCTAAACGCATATGACAGAAAGGAAAGCAAACTGTACATGAAAAAGTGTTTGCTGTTTTTCTTTTAAAAGATTTTTCCCTGTACACATTTAAACTTTACATCACCTTAGATTAAAAAAACCTGAACTATCGTGCTCACAAGATTTGAATATGTATTTTCTATATCAGAATCATCCATTTTAGAGAATGACTCTATATTGTTCCTTGATCAGCCAAGTATTATAAAAAGTAAGAAATAAACAAAGCTGACAATAAAGGCTTTTAATATTTTTGTGAACAGACTCTTTTTTATATAAAGTATTCCTTACATAGAAAAAACCCCACACTTTAAATTGATATACAAAGGAATGTTTGTTGATTAAATAAGGTGGATATTTTGCTATCTAATAAAATATCTGTAAAAAAACAAGTTCAAATACTAGAACAGATTTTTAACTTCAGAGTGGTTAAACACTAAAATGGTATTGAAAACCTGCAGGCAATCCAAACATGTCTAAAAATATAAAATATATTTCCTATTTATACAGAAGTGTAATTATTCCCTTTTCAGAGAGGAGCAGTTCTACAATTATGTAGTACATATCTGTCTCCAAAACTAGCATTCTTCCAGTTTCTAAAGATAAAAAGTTCCTGTCTAACACCCTGGTGGACAGAATAGACATCAGAAATAACATCTATCATTGATCCAAATTTTATTATTCATTTGGGGTATCCAGAATATATAACTTCATAGAAAGAAAAAGAAATTTCTTGTCACAATCATTTCTTTTAAAAATGACATCTGTTTAAAGGTTCTCAGAACTATTAAGACCAAATTTTATGCGAGAGAGCTTGTGGCCTGTGACAAGCGTGGAAGCAAAAAATACATAACAACAAGTCGTCATATGATTTACAGCCTATTTTATATATATCAGCTATGGAACTTCACATTATAATTCATATGCATGCATCTAGATAATACTGTTTACTTTCTTCTCATTGTTTATGACATGGTACACTTAAAATTAAAACAATGTAACAATCCCTCTCTCTGTACCTCTTCTTTGAATAGATTTTGTCTGTTTTTGAGTGACCGAAGCTTGCTTTGCTTATCTTCATGTTCAAGGTCTTCTTCGGGAAGCTGGAAGTAAGTAATGAGGTCTTGCAGAGTCTGAGCCATCTCCTCAACAGGCAGGACAGTGAGTGATAGTGTTCTGTTGTTTCCACTATGGAAAACAACAATGACAAAGACTGGCAGTATTATTCACTTTCCCACTGTAATTTATAGTATTATGTAGTAGCTTATTTTCTGTGGGTGTCTAAAACAAGCCTTGTAATACATATGACATATGAGCAATAGCTGATCTCAATTGCAAATCATTCAAACATCTATTGTTTGGGCGTCCAGCGCTCAGAGCTTCCTGAAATGGAATCACGTTTCCCTTTCTGCACTGATGTAAAGAGAGAGAATGATTTAAAAAAAAAAAAGAAAAGCAGGAGAAACAATCTAATCTGCAAAAAGATGAAACAGAGATGAAAGATGTACCAAAGTCCTTTTTTACAGAAAATTATTTTGTTTAGATACTTCAAATCCTCATGATGATAGAGGTGTAATGTGCTGATGGACTAAAATAGTAGCAGTTATTGAGGTTGTACGCTCCCAGTCTTCTAGACAAAGAACACAAAAATAACCAGTAATCCTAACTATTAATTACATCTTCTGTATCAACTCTATATAGGAAATAAAGGAGTGATTTAAAAATGTAAAAGATTTCAAGGAATCTGAGTTGCCAGTAAAATAATGTCACTTTTCTGTTCAAGCACTTGCTCAATATTGCATGACAATCCAATTTTTCAGTGTCTGACTTGCTATTATAAATAGTGTAATCTAGGAGGAGCTGATAGCTGGCAGAGGTGGCTCTGTTTTCATATCCTCAGCACAAAAAATACAGTCCCTGGTGATACTGAAGAAGTAATGTTTTAAACGCAGTCTTATATGGTGGGTTCTGTGGAAGCAAATTCTTAATTATAAGCTCATTTTTCTTTATCTTTTCACCTATTAGGCAGTAATGCAAGGATGACCACTTGATCATCATAATTAAAACTTCGCCAAGCACTATGAAAAGATAGTTTCTTCAGTACTACACACATTCTTACCAGTTTCCTTGGTGTATTCTTATACGTTGATCTCAGCAATTATAAATGAATATCCATTGACACAGAACTGTATTTTACCCTAAAAATCTTCAGACAAAAACGTATCATATGGAAGAGCTATAGTGAAGGAAAAATGGAACTTTCACGAATTGAAAAATCTTTGTCTTGCTGTTTGTTAAAGAGCTATTATCACGTGAGTTTAGCAATGTAAAATAAATGTCATGAACAATTTACTCTAAAGAATGATGGAAAGTGAATGAAAGTAACAAAATAAATAGAATAAAATTATGCTTCAAAATGCCTCATATTTTCGAACTAACATAGCTAAAGGTATTATTCAAGAAGTCAAATACAACCACATATGTAAGACAGTTTTCATGATACTTCCCTTTGCTGTCTGAATACTAATGCCTTCATCAGAACAATCAGTTTAGAACTATTTCCATGTAAAGTCTCAAACTTATTGGTAATTAAGGCCTGTCAAAATTAAGCTAAACTAATAAGTGACAGAAAACATTCAGAAGAGTCTTGTACAAATTGACAAGCCAGATGATATAAAGCAGTAGCACAAACCTTTTTAAGCACAACACACACTTCAATAGAATTGGAAAATGAGTGCATTGATACAGTAAAAGCAAGTCAAATTTTGATTCATAAAATCTATTTCACAGATAAAATTGTTTAAATACAGGCTTAAATCCAGAAAACTGAACTAAGGATGATATATGATAAATACAGTATCTTTTCATGCTCATTTTGTCAATGGTTCATTAAGATTCCACACCTCCTGATAAGACAATAGCTCTTCAGTCAGCAACATACAAATTTAGATAAACCGATTTAAATTATATTCATGTCCAATAGATTTGTTTTGCTATTGGCCAAGATTGTATGTTTCCATGAAAAGAAAGGTAGTATGTTGCTGCATGTGTGGAGAGGATATTAGGCAACTACCTAACAAGTACAGACCCCTTTATATAACCTTCTCAACAAACCAAGATTATGACATAGCAAGTCTGGTGTCATATTAAATTGTTTCATCTCCCTGACTTCCTAATATCTTTTGTAGTATACACACCATGCCTAGGGTACTTATATATTGCACGTTTCACAACACCCAGGTATCCAAGGGCTTTGGTGTTTTGATCTGTGGAAACAGCCATCACTGTTTCCACATTAGATTTTGAGCTCTATTACACAATTAGTGGAACAGCCCAGTCTCAGATAATTCTTACTGAGGTATAATTACCAACTGCATTGTCCCCTAGTACAGGAAAGATTTGGAAGATAAACTATTCAGAAGGTAATTCTATTGATTCTATCCTAAAGTCTTAGAATCATAACTTGAATTATTCCTTAAAATCAGACATAGTCACTGTCTCTCTGCTGTTACTGACTTCAAATATCCATAAATCCATTCCACTGCAAATAAACGTGTTGGTTTAAACAGAAGATTTAAGAATGCTTACTTAAGAATTTAGCTGAGACACAGAAGTGAAGAAATTGTTGCTTTTACCTTCTGTAATCGATGGCCTTGCTGGATTTGTCAAAGCAAGACCAAAGACATGCTTAGACTGAGACACCAAGAGCCGAAGAGCTAACAAAGGCAGCAATTGACTTGTGCTTATCTTATCAGACAGAAGTAAGCGGGGATAGCCCATCACTGTAAACCCAGTGATCTGTGGGGTGCCGCGGAGGCTGCACAGCCAGAGATTGCTTCCAATAAGGAAGAGATGGCCCCCGGAAGTGCATACCAAGATGCCCGCTCCATAGGCGTGTCAAACTCTGCAGTCCCGCTTCTGACGACATGACATTCCATGCCAAGAGCCAATCGATACACAATAATTGACTTAGTCTCACCTCGCAAAAAGATTTCCAACCATATAAAAATTGGCACTTGAAAACTCTCTTTGGGAGGAGGAGCCAAACGAGAGCTTCACCTGACGGACGGGTCGATGGGCCTGAACCTCTCTTCCTCCCCCAAGAAGGGACGCCTTTTTGGTAAGAGTCGCGCCTCGGACATATCCCCGGGAACACGTTGTCAACTAAAGCACTAAACTATTGCCTTGAGTTCAACTTTTGCAGACAGTGCATTTATCAACGGCAATCCTGAATCTGTGATACGTGTCGCTTGAATAAATTACCTATTGTTTCCACTTTGCAAAACTGTTTCAGTGAAAGTCCTTGGAAGGGCTCTGGCAGGTTGAATCTGAAAAGTGGCTACACACTTAACCCTTTAGACATAAACCGTTGACCAAGTCTGGGAGACTAGGAGTAGATCCAACTGCACCTAGACTCTCCTCCAAGAGAGAGTTTAGAATGCAAGGGGGTCTGCACTGAACCTTGTGACTCAATGGGAGGGCTCTCCTTTTGCCACTTATCAGACTCCCTTACCCCTTTTAACGCGACACCTTCTCAGCTGACAGTTAGCCTTCTGCTCCAACTGTTGCTACTGTATATAATTTGTTCTATTCCATACAGTTCAGAAAGAACTGCCTCTCCTCAAATCTTTACATCTTCCAGCATGATCAGAGGGGTGACAGAGAAACAAGAAGATCAACAGGGTGGGTGAATAAAAAGGTACAGGTAAAATGTTTTAGCCCAGATTTTGAAAGGAATAAATCAGTATTCTCTTCCCAGACATGTAAAGATCTATTTTGTACTTCCTTCTATTGTTCACTTGCATGGACTTGGGCCTACTGTGGTTCCCCATTGTATTTCTGATCTAAACAGTATCAAGCATCAATATTCCTTTCAATTACTTTGACAAATTTGATCAGAGTTAGCCATAATATTTGGTCTACCAAGAAAAACAGAAAAATACTAACTCTTTTACAAATATTGTGAAGTTCTAGCTACTGTAGAATACTTACTAATGAGTTATACTAAGATCATTTATCATGTTTTCTTCAACCTGGATTATGATCAAATTTGCTTCTGTCTTCGAGGTATTAGATTTCATGTAAATAATCCTAAAGAAGTTATTTAACCTATTTAATGGAATTACTCATCAAAATTACAAGCTTAAGTCAGTAAAAATATATTTCTAATAGTTTTTAAATACAAATACTTGAAAGCAGGAAATAAGGATTCTCTTAGACAAATTCTTATCATTTCAAAATACTTTGAAAAAAACAAATAAAAAATGATTACATATAAGATGGTAACAACTACCTTATAAATTGGCTGAATAAGCTTGTAGTGTTGCGAATGATTCGAGCAGCCTGGGATTCCTCATTCTGACATCTTTGTAAGGTTAGACCATCATCCATATGGCCTTCTTGGTGTAATATAACCTATTGAAAGTCAGTAATTATCACCATAATTACTTCAAAAAATGTTTGTGCTTTTAAATAACTTGTAACTTATTGCAATATTGCACTGAAAACAGTTATTGCATATATACTGAGCTACTACTTGTTAATCACTTCATCTGAACACCTGTTTATTAATTTATTATAGATCTGTCAGTCTCACATAGAAGTTATTCAGAGAAGACATTTTAATGTACTTTTATTCTCCCACAATGCATCAAACATAAATTCTCATCAAACATTTTCCAACTGAAAAAAAAAAGTCATTATTTCTACATTCTGGCTGCCGGTGACAGAGGATCTTCACTATCTTAGGCATCATCTACTAAAGGATACACACATGAAGAGACTATTGACAAGAAAATCAAGCTGGAGTGACAAACACCATAAAAATTAGAATGCAGCTAAAGGAGCAATAACATTTGTGAGCAACATCTGACTCATTTAACTATTCTTTACACATTATGCTGGATTCTTATCAGAACCAGATGAGAACATCATATGAATTTCAAGCAATAACAGAGATTCTTTGGTGCATTTATAATTTTTCCCTTTAAATAAACACCAAATTTCACAAAAAGTCAGCAAAATTTTTAGGTATCACCAAAACAAGTCTTGCTCATTTTGAGTCATTAAAATCCTAAAGCACTTTTGTAAAAATTGAATGTGAGTTATCCTGCTTCTTTGCCCAAGATGTAACCTGTTGAATTTTCCACTGAATAATGTATTATTTTAGCTCCAAAATAGTAAAAATTTGCTGCCCAAATTCCCAGTTACCTAAGCAATTCTGAAGGCACTGAACAGTTAACAAAGAAACTATTAACATTATACAAGTGGTTACTGCCACAAATGGGAAGGTTATTTACCAACAGCTTTCTCTGCATACCAGCATACAGGTATACCAAAGCACTGGAAAGTCATGTTTTTCTATAGTTGGCAGGATCCAAAGTACACACGTGCTCTGTTCCTTCCAACCTGCTGAGGAAGTGCTTTTAAAAGATACAAACATCACCCTATGAGTTTATTGGGACTCCAGAATCCATGGAGATGTGATGGAGAAGACTAGGAAGACATTTCTGAATTAGTATATTGATTATATTATCTTAATGGAGACTAGTTTACATATTGGTCATCTTTCCTCTTTGTTCTTCTTATATAAAGTCACACTGTGGGTGACTTTGTTAACTGAAATATCACTTTCCATAAAGAAGGGTCCTGGGTTCCCTTAACTGAAAAATAACTAAATCACTGTTCTTCCTGTCACAAAACTAGTAAGGAAACATTTGACCATCAGGTGTTTCCTCAGGCCATTGCATGTAGCTCCAGAATTTGGAGCTACAGGAATGAAAACATTTGATAGATAGGATATTAAAGCTGCCATGCCTTGAAAGTAATTGCTCTTTCACTACTGTGTAGCAGATATTCACTCTTCTCCCTAAGTATGAAGTAGATCAGGGAAGACAGAAGTCTTTTAGCAGGACTAAATCTTCCCTATTTCTCTGACTGAAAAAAAAAAAAAGAACCCAAAACCTCAACTGAATCATTCAGAAACACCACAATGCCATGGAAGGGCTATTTAGAACTCGAATAAGTAGATCACAGCCAGAAGCACCCAGCACCGTCTACTCTGCTTCCTCAGATAAATCACTTCCCTGTGTATAAAGGGGCATTTGGCACTGCCTTGTTTGTTGCGGTACAGCAGGGCATTGGAACTGACCAACACCCTGAGCAATGGTCTCCAGGACAGGAATCCAAAACACGTAGCATAAGTTTCTCAGTTCTCTGAGCCCCAGCATTCTGGAGCTCTGCACCAGTTCATAGCTTGCACAGACGCAAGCTCTCAAACTGAAAAGACAGACATCCATCACTCACACTGGATGGTGGAGGAATGTTGAACAGAATATTGATGTTAACATCATCACTACCTGGCAAAGTCTTGAACCCTTGGTCACCAAGATCTCAGAGACAGAGAGATAAAACAGATCAAAATTCTGGCAGAAACTGGCAACGGAAGTCTCATAAATGATGCCAGAATTTCTTACATATTTGTGTCTTGCAAAAACAGCATGATACCTAGATAAATGAAACTACACCAAAGCCAAACAAAAGTAATTTTTACTTGGCATTGTATTTTATAACAGATCTAACCCCACAGTTGTTTTCTCCTCTCTACAGATTTGCAGCAGCTGTCAGCAACAATAGCTAGGTTACGTGTCACAAACCACCCCTTGCCTCTTGCAAAACCAAGGTATTTCTCAATACTCCTAGGGCTACTGAGGCATGTTACAAAAAGTGCAGATCAGCTTGAGAAGGATTACAGCGACAGAAAGTGAAAATCTCCTGACAAAATGATGGTGGATTACGCATACAAAGCTCTGACTTCACTTTTACTGCAGAAAAATAAATTTGAGATTAAATTTAAGGGGATCTCTATACCTAAACTTCCTTACAAAATTATAGTCTACTACCGTATTTTGCAGAGGATAAAAAACTGTTTCTTGCCTCCACAGGAATATCAATTATAGCAAGCAACATTTGGGTTTTCTTCTGTTTGAAGGCACTTAACAGGAGCAAATTCTCCAGGTGAGAGGGCAACAAAAGATTTGGAGTCTTTGAACATGAGTAAAGCAGTTTGAAAGGAGAATAAAAGTGACAGGCAATTATGGAGTCCTTTGCTGCTGAGCAGAAAACTGGGGAAAAAATATACTAACATTCACAGGAAGGTATTGCACAATTCATCATTGAATACAGAGGAAGTATCTACATGTTGCCTTTTCAAGTAGTAAAATTGGACCCTCTGAGGAAACAGAATCTCATAGCCAATACAGGCATGGGAAAGGAAGAGGCCATCACTGTGTGATTAAATGTCTTATTGAGAAAATACTGAACGACTGGCATACAAAAAAGAATTTCTCTGATCAGCAGGTTGCTGAGAAGAGGAGAAGGGGTTGAGCACTCACTGCCCATTTATGACCATGTGTGCTGCATAAATAAATGAGATTGTGCGAAGGGTGTGCTGAGGAGCTCATTTTTTGTGTTAGAGTGCTTGTGTATGGTATCCTCTTGTGAATGTACATACATACATGCAAGTAATTAAAGAAAAATTCCAACTTTTGTTCAGTAATGAACTTTTTCTTTTCTTTTGTCATGTTCTAACAATAAGTTCAAATTGTAAAAATCTATGAATACATAATCAAAGAATCATTTGGTAATAATGCAGTTATGCGAAGCTAGTACTAAACCCCTTAATTCTGAATGAAATGTAAACTTAATTTGAAGAGATAACAGGTCATATGGCCCTGATTAAGAATATACCCATACCCTATAATCAACAGGCGGAGAGAAAAATATTCTCCATGCCACATCACAATCACACCTAATATTTTGGCAGGAAACTGTTCACTAATATCCCTTAAGAAACTTCAGGAGTTTCTAGGGCCATTTCTTAAGTAACAAATTTAATTGCCATTTCATACAATGTGCTCAAATAAAAAAATCTAAAACACCAATGAATGTAAGATGACTTACAAGTTTATGCCCTTAAACAGTTAAATGTAGATTTTTACAAAAGTGATTTGACCATCCAAATCAGGAATTTCTATAGTTTACTAAAGTGTCAAAAATAAAAATTGAGCCCAAATTAATAATTCCTTCTGGGAAGAAAAATAGCTAAATAAATTTCTTAGTGGTAAAGTTTTTCTTCAGTTACATAGTTCTGTTAATAGCCACCATTGTTTTAATTTTTAGAATGAATCATTCACACCATTTTCAATAAAACAGCACAAAATAATTAAACCCACAATTACCACATCAGCAGAATGGCAAAAACCAGGGCAGACCAAAACTGTTATCCAACTAACACTCATTTTACAAGTACTTCAAAAAAAATCTCAAACATTACCTTTCTTTTCAAGGGACCTAAACGTGCTGATTTAGCATCTTGTGCTTTGTAAGTCAACCATAAGGCACTGGCCACATGCTGGACAAAACAGATCGAATCACCGTACTTTATTTCTGGGACGCCCATTCCATCAATGTCACGTTTAAGACTAGAATCCTGCTTTTCTTTTAGCTCCTAAGAAGAGAAAATAGAAGCTGACATTTAGACTCTGTTCTGGAACAGGATAGAAATCTAAAGTATCATTTTCACTGAAGCAAGAAAAATCAAGTAAAATCCATTACTATGTAAAGACATACATAAAAAAAAATCTTTAAATATTTAACATAACCTCACCAGTAATTGAGTAATTGATGTAATTAAAGTTTCAGTTTAATAGTGTCTGTAGAACTCTATTTTACTAAAATTTTCAAATTTTAGCTCAGATATGAAAAAGAAAAATGAGCAGAAACATGTTTTGAAATTTATTTAAAATATTTTGATGGTAAATAATTTTTTACTTATAAATAGTATATGCAGATAAAACCTTCACTTGGAATAATGCCTATGTATTGCAACAACCAGCAAAGAAGAAAATATTAAATTTTAAAATAAGCAGAATTTGGCTTTTATATTTGTTTAACTTTTGCATTTCTTAGCTTTTTAATGTTTATTTTCTTTTTCCATTTATCCTCTTTGTAACAGGAATTGGATTCTTTCAAATTTCTTTCAAAGACATTGCTCAATGCTCAAGCTGGAACACCCAGTACAAATTTTAAGCCCAACCTATTTCTTAATCCCCTTATTCTTCATTCACAGCAGAGGATTTTAAGTCTCCAGCACAAAGGCAAGTATCTATTTCTTTAAAATAAAATAGTTTTCTGTTCAAAATTGAATTCAGGAATAAGAACAGAAATATGCAGCAAATTCTGTAATAACAAATTACTGATGCATGTGCATGTGTGTTATTAAACAAAAACTCCAAGTAGAGTTAATTAGATTATATCACTTTTCTACTATTGATGGATTTAACAATAATTGTAGATAGCTGCTCATTTTTTGCTAATTAAAATATGTTAAACATTGATACATAGTTTAAATTATTATGTGTAACAGGTTTTCTTAATTCATTTCTCTTTACTGAATGTTCAACATCTGTGGAGTAATGACAAGTTCTGTTTTAACTATGCTAATCTACTCTCATTTATACAGAATTTAGCTGTCACATTTCAATAATAATTTTAGTTGAAACAGGTAGCATTATAATGCCAAGATGAAGTAGAATGAGACTACAAGACATTCCTTGGGGATACCATTACAATATCAAGACTATGGGGAAATCATGTCACATTTTATTTACACAGACTGCACTATCACATAAAGATTAACTCTTTTGATACACGTTTATGGTGAGGCCATTAAATGAAAAATACAATAAAATAGCACAAATTCATTAACTGTCAGCAATTAACTATTTGGCTTTACATAGCACCCCAAAGATTACAACGTTTTTCTCAAATGTTACGTCTGTGTCTAGATTCAAGCATCAACAAAAATTCCAGTGAAAGAAATCACAATGTCGTAACAAGTGATCCTAATTCAATTACTGTTTTAAAACCATGAAGCAATACTGATCCTTTTTTGATGACAGTAAACAAATTAAAACCAAGATTTTTCAAATTTCAGAATTAAAGCTTTAGAATCATTTTGGAGGCTTGAAGGCTGTTCTCACTTTAAGCAATGCAGTATAAACTCCTCTTCGTGATGTTCTGCTCTTTGTGCTCTGTCCAGTTTCTCTAGGATTTCAGCCAAGTCATTTGATAGCAGTGTGCAAAGAGGGTGTATTTGCTAACAGCTGAAAAGTATAGTCAAATAAAGACTACCGGGGGAGAAAGTAGAAAAAAAAATCTATCTAGATATTTGTACAGATCTTGGCAGAAAAATATCCAAACACTTTCTCCTTCAAAAACCTCTTTTCCTAACCTATTCTGAGTTTAACTCCCTCAGGCCATGAATGAATCAAGTTGAAGAAAACAAATCACATCATGGCTCTGGAAGATGGCAAAGGAAAAATAACAGTAACAAACAATAAAAAAAGAAATAAGGAATGAACAAAAGAACTTGAGGGCAAAGCTGTCAAAGATGCAATTTTCACAAGACATTTAATATACTAGCAGAAGGGCGAGATTCAGAAAATGAGAGAATTAATAGAATCAAAGATTCCTACATGATAAAAGGAAGCTAAGGAATGGCAGTGTGAACAGGACAAATAAATCCAACTGTCTTAACAATTATTTTTCAACAGTCTTGTAAAAACACAGTACGGGAAGAAACCTCTTGGTATCTTAAGGGCTTGTTTACGTACCCCTAAGAATAGTAAGACAACCTGACTGCTAAACTCTTACTAAATCAAACCTACGTAAGCTAATTAAAATTCTATTTTTTTGGTGTTGCACACTGTTATTGCATTAAAAGTACTGCCATAGGCTACCCCAACTTAATAAAAGAAAAAGATAAAAGGTCTACAAATATAAGATCAGAGGACTGATACATTCATCTTACCTATCTTTCTAGTGGGCTTACTGAACTCTGTATGCTTTGCTGTACACGTTTCTACACCCCAGTAGGCAAGAAAAAAAAAAGTGATTTTAATTTTACCTCCTACTTTCTCCTCCCACATAAAACAAGCAGAAAAAATAGCTTAATACTGTATTTGAAATGCAGTGCTTACTGGGAAATGATAATTGTAAAATATGAACTTAAAAATAAATGAACTTTCAGAGACAATTGTAAGCACTCTGTAACACCTATCATCTTATTCCAAAAACGAATTAAATTTTATGATTACCACTAAACTATTACAACATCCTAACATCACGTTGAGCCCCTAAGATAGCTACACGCTGGCAGTAATATTAAAATGATATCAAATCCTTCTGCATGAGTCATCTGTGACTTTTGAATGTGTCAGAATGTTACTTACTCAGGCTACACCAATAACTACTTCATTGTCAATTGTATATGCCACTATGAAAATAAAATATCAAATCTCAAATATTAATTCTGGGCTGCAACAATTTTTAAATAAATATTTTTAAATATACTCTTGTTCTTCACTGTGTTTATTCTCCAAGAACTTTATAAGCAGAATCAAGGTTCTGGCTCAGCTGAGTATACTTAGCCAAGTACTGTGCTGGAATGAGAACATCCCATTTCAAAACAGGATTCCATCTGCTGCAGGGAAACTGCTGTCTCTGTGGTCACAAGGCACTGCAGAACTGTTGCCTTAAAATGTAAAGGCTGACATTTTAAAACTTTGCCAAAAGTAAGATCCATCTTAAACCCAACAAAAGGCATAATTTGGGTTTTTTTCTGTCAATTTCTGATGCTTGTAAGCTTAGTTTGCAGCAATTTGCAATAGATAGACATATACTGCTTATGCTGTTTTCCTTGAAATCAGCACCAAAATGTTCTTTAGCATATTCTTTCATTTTTTAAAAGCTCCCTTCTATTTTCATTTATGTAAGGACATATTAAGGAAAACTCTAATTCCAATTTCGTAATTCAAAATATCCGTTTCCATTTCCAGCGTTACCCATCAAAAGGGAGCAAACCAGTTTAAGTAAATACATTATGAATGCAATCACAGGTTTTGAAAAGCAAGGAGCACACAAGACTGCTGAAGTGGTGTGTAACAACACTGAGGATGAAGCTGTGCTTTTTCAACAAGAGGGTCTCTAAAACAGTTTCAGCAAGAGGGCTGGAAAAAAGACTTTAAGTTATGTGTTACAGGCTCCTGGGAAGCCTTGGGGATTTGGTATACTCCACACAGCGCTGCCTACTGGCAAAGACGTCTTTTTTCCACAAAACTCCTTTTGCTGGCTTCCAAACTGGAAAAAATACCTCAACGGAGAAAGGTTTTATTTCCTTTTGGATACTCCACAGCAACGCACATTCTGACCAGTCTGGTCTGAATTCAGTGCTGAGCCCACTTGGAGCAGAAGGCTGGACTAGATGACTTCCCAAGGTCCTTTCCAATCAGAATTATTCTGTGATTCTAAAGGACAGGACTGCTGTAAACAACCAGGTATTACAGCACCCTATTTTCAAGGATCTGCACACAGCTGGACACAAAGGTATCAGAGAGTCATGTTGAAATTTCCCTTAATTCATGCCAAATTAAGGTCCAGGCAAGTGAAAATATTTCTTTGAGAAAATGAATGAGAGAAAACAAAGGTTTACAAATACATATGTGGAGAAATTAAGATAATCACACTTGCATCTATCTAGTCTAGCTACTAGTTCTACAGTTCTTTTTCCCCTCAATCTGTACGCAATCAGCACTTGGCTATAAGAGTCCTTCCCTCGTTACAGTCCAGATCAATCTTTGGGGTTTATTCACTTCACCTTTCTTTCTTCAGGAAGAGTTGTCACTGCTCGTTCCCCTCACCTTTGGAAGCACGAATGTCTCTAAAACCGGGCCAGTGCAGTTCTGACTTGCCCAGACAATACACATCTACTCTTATTCTTGGCACAGGCAAAAGCAAATTTATAACCTATCGTAAGATACAAATATTCTTTTCTATACAGGACGGCACAAATCCTAGGATGATGAGACACTGAACTTGTATTTCATATAAAAATGTACATTGACAACCACATTATGCACAAACACAGTAGAAGGGATGAATGCATTCCAGAGTCATTACTGACTTCTGCATAATCAATTACTACTTTACTTCACCTTAGTCATTTAGGGGATTGTAACAAATTACACTAATGTGCCTTTGAGGCACATCTCAACAAAAAGAGTAAGAAAATACAGTATGTTTATTCAATGTAACAGAAATATGCTTATGTATGCCTATGCATAAAATAAATAAAGATTTATATACTTAAATTTATACTTTTTTATGCATAGATTAAAATACTGAGAAATTGCAGGACAGACAGTGTCCAGTTAGACAGTGAGTATGTTATAGGAATTTGAACACAATGTTAAGCCAGTACATGCAGCATTCCTGGCATACTCACCATCCTTAGCATGATTTGCCAAAAAAGGGAAAAAATTACAGCCGTAATAAATGCCCCTGCACAACATTATACATACCATCTACACTGCACAGCCTTTACCTGAAGGAAGAACCAAAACCTGTTTGGTGAGCATCTAGCGATCTAAGGAAATTCCCTGATAGTTTTTCAATTATTTTGATTGGTTAAAATAAAAATTCTGGGCATACCATGTGCAGTCACACTAATAAAACAACCACTGTTATTTTAAACATGCTAAAAAGAAGTATTTTCTTTATTATGCTAACGAAAGTCTAGCATCTGTCAAGACCCTTAATGCTAGATTTTATCTAGTACATATCTAACTTTAAAGACTCTTTTTCACTGCCCTTCAGGGACCATACAGCATTCAGAGTAGCCCAGAACATTTAACTGCTCATACTTCATAAAAAAACTCTATTGCAGCAGCTATGGCAACTATTTATAATATCACGAAAGCACGTAGAAACTTTTCACCATCTTTGGTGTAAAAACCTTTAACTTTCTCAGAGAAAGTCATTAATTTCACCTACCTCCCTAATCATTCTTCATTCTCTCTCACTTGTACTGTTTTTCTCAGCTGGAAACAATGGAAAAGCTAGTAACATGCAATTAGCAGCTCACTAAAGAGCACAGTTTGAAAACATATGGTTTAGAAATAACTGACTACATTTCCCTTGCAATTCACCAATCAACATACAGCACAAAGAATATTAAGGGCAGAATTTTGCTCAACAGAATCAAATTCAATTGAATTCAATTATGACAAATCGAGCTGGAATGAATAACATTCTAATGAGATTCTGTCCAACTAAAATGATTCTATAATGATTAAAGCATTCATATTAAACTACCGTATCTTGCACTGTGTTGGTTTTCAATCTTGTTTTTTTAAACTCTTAACTGTTCAGCTTACTCTAAAATTTATTCATCATCCCTATTTTTCCTCAAGGAAGCCTTTGTTACTCTCGACTCAGGTTGTTTACCTTTGTATTTAAATGCATAATCCCCGCCAATCGCTTCAATTTAGAAATTACAAATAATTTATAAAGTTGTTGAACCAACTCAGATCTAGTATTTGAGTGCTCCACACTTAAGACAAATTTGCATTCATGTTATTTACCTTTGATGCTCTAAAACAAAAGGCAGTGGATGTTGTGTCTGACTTTTCTCTGTCTAACATTGCAAGTCCTTCATCTTCATTCAGAGCCAAGTACCTTCCTGTTGTAATGTGTCGAAGACGGAAAGGCTGTCCCCATCTGATATTACTTCCACTCCAGCTAAACGTATGAGACATCAAAAAATAATTTATGAAGTAAGCAAAACTAACATTTCTATTTGGGGCTTTAAAGGATGTTCAGAAAATAGAATGCGCTGTATATATTCCTTTTTGCTTTTGACTTCAATATTTGCATTAAAACAGCCGCAAAACTGTTAATACATTTGCAAAGGGAATCTTGGAAAGGAGCATAGCTTTAATTTCCTTATTTCTATACCGTCTCTCTGATTTACTAGGGTGTTACATACTGTGTCCACAAAAAAATCCTATGTGTTAAAAACACACAAAAGTGTAAATTAACTGCTGTATTTCAGTTGACTGCCTAAACAAATTGATTAAACTGAAGTGAGGCCTTAACTTTCCAAAGAACTATCCTACATGTCTGTTAGTTATGAGGGTTTTTCATTTGCAATCACAAACACACCAAAAGTAATACAAGTATACAGTTCAGAAGGCCATCAAAGTTAAAACATGATACCATTATGGTATATATTGAAATTTCACTTGCAACCTGGGAGGGAAATAGAGTCAAAAAACCAACAAAAAAAAGACACCCATGAAGAATTTTACTGTTGTGATTTCCAGATGTGCTTCGAAAATTCCAGGTGAAAACTAGGAAAGCATTTTACTTTTGGACAGAAGCAATGGCTCAAGCAGACATATCTCATAGGCAACAGTGCTTCTGACACGGTACACAGACTAAAAAAAAGTCTTTAAATACTGACATTCCCTGTATGATTATAATGGCAGATTACTTTTTATTATTGACAATGAACTTACTAACACATATCATACAGCAACACAAATCTATTACTCATGTTCTGCCTTAAGGGTCTGTAACAATAGAATTGCTGTTAACATAACAAAAGTTGCTAACAAAAATGTTCAAAAAATGTCAGTACCTTATTCGAAGGGGTTCTACTCTCCACAAAGACCTTGCTCGAACACCAGCTCCTCCAGTTTCATAAAGTACTTTCCTACAGAAAAGATTCAGAACATGTTCCTCTTGTGCTTATTTGTGCTACACAGTATTTATAACCTACTCCCCTGTATAGGACTCACTTATCCCCAGCTAAACAGAAAAGATTTGTTTACACCTCACAAAAAACCCCAAACAAACAAAATCTAGGAGTACAGTAGAGAAAGGCTTTTGATACTTAAAAAAAAAAGGGTTCTGCGTATCCTGAGTTTCAAATCAAGACCCTTCCTATTATCCAACAGGCTGCCCAGGGAAGCGGTGAGGTCACCATCCCTGGAGGTGTTCAAAAAACGTGTGGATGTGGCACTTCAGCACATGGTTTAGTAGGCATGGTGGTGTTGGGTTGACAGTTGGACTTGATGATCTTAGAGGTGTTTTCCAACCTTAATGATTCTATGATTATATGATTCATTTTATTTACTGTATCCATTACATATGAGATTAGTTATACAAATTCTGGCACTTGGATGACAAGATATGACTACTGAAAGAAGAAAAACCTTCTTACATGTATTCCTGTGAACAGGACTTATCCACCCTAACATGCACGGGAGCTGGACCTACACGAAAATGTCACAACCTAGCTACTACACAGTCTGTTCTGAATTAAAGTAGCATTTTGAAATTCAGAATTTTAACTGGCTTTTCAGATTGTTTTATTCTTTTCTTTTTTCAGCACTTTATAGGGAAAGAAGAATACATCTGTTCAGTATTGTTCTCATGCAGCTATGTGACCTGGAACTCAACTCGTGAAATGCAAATTGTGTTCTTATCTGAGCAGATGTTTCTACAACTTCCCTTTCAAGAACACTTCAGGTTTTAATTTATCTGATATCCTGCTTCTTGGTCAACACCAATACATTCCAGGAAGAATCTATATATAAACATGAAGTACACTAGAGTGTGACAAACCATTTGCATCCAATATCCAGTAAGATCATGGACTTTTAGATCTACACCTGTACATTTTTTAGGATTAACATTTAAGAACACACATGCAATTTCAGAAATTTCGAAATGACGATGCACCACAAAAATAAGAATACATATCCCTCATTGCAAAGGTAGTAGCATTTCCTACACATCTTGTCTTCTGTAATAATGTTTTTGATACTCTAGAATCAAAATACAAAACGACAACAAAAAATCTGGCAATAAATTCATCTTAATTTCCAGACTATTAATATGATCTTTCGAGGTCCCTTCCAACCTGGGATGTTCTATAATTCTATGAATACACTGAATACACAGTAACTCTCTGGAGTTACAATTTTCCGTTTTCATCGTAGGTCCTCTTTGGTCCCATTCACCTCATTGATGTTACTTACGGCAGACTAATGACCTCTTCCTAGCTAAGCTCAAAACTAATAATTCATTTGCATTCTCTTTGACCTCCTTCATTTCTCCTTGGCCCAACTCAGCTATTCCATCACTGACGGAATACCACAGATATGTCTCTGTCCACCTTTTATACTTCTAAAATTCCTATACTACTTAAATTGTCTAATCCTTTTCCAGCTTTTTCTATATGCAACACTGTATTAGCATTAGTGACCTGCTCCTACAGTAACAAAACTGCAAGTAAAAGAGAATTGCTGTTTTTTAACAACAGGATCCACATAACATTTTCTTGCATCTTCTCCTTGATTCCTTCCATCCATCCATCCATCCACCCATCCTATTCTGAGTTTTTGCCAAGCCTGCATTTTCATTTTTGATGTTCAGTACATCCATTCCTTGTATTTTCACCCGGCCTGTAATAAAAGACCTTAAATTTCTTGGCAGAGAATGGTCACTGTGAGAGATGTTAAGGTGGATTCTCAGCAGAAACCTTCAGAAAATGAAATGTCTGTTCTATGAAAAGAGATATTAGCTCTCTTGTCTAACTTAGCTTATTAAATAGTCCTAATGGAATGCATAGAACTGATGAAACAAGGAGATGGAAATAAACACATCCATTTTCTACAGCTCTTTCTCCTGTTCCTATTACTATTTGGTCTTTTTCATGTATTCATTTTGTTTTCATAGAATCATAGAATGCTTTGAGTTGGAAGGGACATTTAGAGGTCATCTAGCCCAACCTCCCTGCAGTGAAGAGGGACATCTTCCACTAGACCAGGTTGCTCAGAGCCTTGTCCAACCTGGCCTTGAATGTTTCCAGGGATGTGGCCCCCACTACCTCTCTGGGCAACCTGTTCCAGTGTTTCACCACCCTCACTGTAAAATATTTCTTCCTTATATCCAGTCTAATAGTTATGTATAATGTAAATGTAACTCCTACAACTATGACATAGTACCAGCTTGGCCTTAGGTCTATTATGTAGCTCACAGATCCAAAAGACAGGACAACTCCAAATCATCAATCTTAGCACATTGTATCACTCTCATACATTTGAAAATGTTCAATATAACATTCACATTATTCTCATTTTTCAGGAATATAAATACACAGATGTCATCCAGAAAAGTAAACATTTTTTAATTTTACCCTTTTATTTACATAGCTGTAAAAAAATGGAAGCAGATCTTAAGGCAGTAACAATATACACCAAATGTATATTAAGAAGAACATCATACAGGGCAATAGGTCTCCACAATTATTTTTTGTTTTAACTGTATCTGAATAGATAAGCAACTGCAATGGCAAAGCACCATTTCTGAACATTCTGAAAAGGCTCGACATCTATTCTAACCTTGCTAAGACTGGTTGTTTCTAAAATTTGTCCAAATATGACATTCGTTCCACACAAGGTATCTAGATCCTAGGATTTTTGCTAGTATTTTTATACTAGGTATGCACATTTTCACACTCAGTGCAAACTTTGTATCTTTTTTTCTCTACACATATGAAGAGAACAGTAATAAAAAAATTCACCAACAAGTGAAGTTTTCTGACATTCAGTTTGGGTTTTGTTTTGGTTTTGGAGACATTTTCACTCCACAGAAATATAAAAATGGAAAATCTAGAGCTGAAAAGTTTACTTGACGTAACTGTATGTTACTTGTGGTATCATTAAGGAAGAAATTCTTTACAAAGGAAGAAATTCTTCACAATGAGGGTTGTGAAACACTGGAACGGGTTGCCCAGAGAGGTAGTGGAGGCCCCATCCCTGGAAACATTCAAGAGCAGGTTGGACAGGGCTCTGAGTAACCTGATCTAGTTAGTGGTGTCTCTGCTTGCTACGGGGGGTTGGACTAGATGACTTCTAGGGGTCCCTTCCAACCCCAAACTTTCTATGATTCTATGATTCTATGATCATATTATCTAAAGCATAACTTATTTGCCACAATGGGTACAGAGATCTTGTTTGTTGAATACGATTATTAATGCTGGGGTTTTTGTGTATCAAAATGACTATCTTGCTGTGCTTTCGATTATCAGCAAAATGAAAAGTTAAATACAAACAATAAATCAACGTAACATACATGTTATATGACATATATAATATTATATAATATATAACATCTGTAGATTTAAGTTAAATACAAAAGTGATTTAGTTTAGCTAATATGATATAGTTATCTTAACATATTCACCAAATTTTAGAGCAAGAACTTGCAAAAAGGTGCAAAACATACAAAATACAAAAGTCATTCTAGAGGCCAAATTTTCAGAGATCTTTTTAGGGCTTTTTTTTTTTAAATTTCCATTTTCCCTGCTAATGCTTGCTTACCTCTGCTTACAGTAGTACACATTAAAGACAAACAACATAGCAGGCTTAAATCTCAGTGGAAATCAACTACTTGAATTTCAGCAATAAAAGAACTCATGACTGATTTTCTGCCTAGGTCTCAACTTCTTGTAACAATGTCACTGCCTGTAAAGAATGTTTAACCTATCTAACCTCAAATTCAACCGACAATCAACAGTCTATTTCTCTTCTGAGAGAAGGAAATGTATAAAAATGCAGCTCCACTTACTTGTGCTGTGAATCATTCTGATCTGTAGATGGAATTGTCAAACACTCATCATGGCCATGGAAAAAACGTACTACATGCCCACCAAGAAGATATCCTGCAGAAGAAGCACATTTACTCCTTAGCTTAAACATTGACAATATGAAAATAACATTCTCAAAAAAAATTCAGAATAATTCAAAAGACCTAGGTGAAAGCTGTTTTCCAAATTTTCACTCATAACTGAAATTAAACAAGAAGAACAAATTCAGTATGACAACATACTATTTTTTGTATCTTTTTCAGTTAAAATTATTTCTTATGAAAACAAAGACAAAAAGAAAGCAATCCCTTATGGTTTAAAAATCAAAATAGGATTCTGAGACCGAAAAGGAAAATAAAAACTTCTGCAACAATTACCATTTGGAAAATTAAATCCTTTCAGTAAAAGTCAAATCAAATATACAATAGCACAGTTTCCTCCCCTTTAATACAATTTAAATGTTCTCAATACAAAATAATTTGGTGAGTTCATCAGTTTGTTCTGACATTTATAATTTGTGTCACAATCAAAACTGCACAGCAGCAGCAGGAGACAGAGGGCAGAAAAACACTTCGCAGTTCTGAAGATTAAGTTTAATGGAAGCTAACTTTCCAACCCATTTAACACAAAGACTACAGGTCAAAACCAGGCATTTTACCCAACAGAAAAAAAGAAAAAAATTGGTGTGGGAGGAGAATGATTCATCAGACCCTCAGTCCAAACTGTTCTGACCTTCTAAGTGAAATGAATGCATTTTAAAAGAACAAACGCATATAAAGGAGGAAGGGTAGAAGGGAACTTTCATACTGTGTGGCTGACTCAATGTAAATTTGTAAATTACGAAAACGATAACTGGCAATTATCCTGTTGCCAATTAATATAAAGGTCAAAGCAAAGAAAGAATGTGAAAAAATATACTTTCTTGATATTTATGTTCCATCAAAAGCACTTCAAACATCACAAAAAGTACGTTGTCTGACTTCCAGTCCAATTTTAGACTCAGGAAATCCCACTTTCTCAGTCTGTCCATTCAACTCGAGCTAGGCTGCTAAGTCTTTCAACACACGATCATCCCTCGTGTAAACCATTCTGAGAAGTGTATATATAGCTAAATCTAAGCCTAAGTAGTTGGGAAAAAACTGATCCAGAGAAAAACTACTTCTCTGCTTACCTCACCCTATCCTGTTTCTTTGTTTATTTTTTGATTATGCAATTTTGGATTATGTGTCCAATTCTAAGCTACACAGTACAAGGGTTCCAAGTACAGCAAAGGGCCACAAAGATGATTAAGTCTGATGCATCTCACACATGAGGAACAGCTGAAAGTACTGGGGCTGTTTGACCTAGAGAAGAGAAGGCTCTGCAGGTGATCTCATCAATGTAAAGAGGACAGTCATCATCTCTTCAGTGGTGCCCAGTGACAGGACCAGAGCCAATGGGCATAAACTGAAACACAGGAGGGTCCGTCTGAACATCAGGAAACGCTTTCTCACTCTGAGGGTGCCTGAGCACTGGCACAGGTTGCCCAGAGAGGTTGTAGAGTCTCCATCCTTGGAGATATTCAAAAGCTGCCTGGACATGGTCCTGGGCAACCTGTTCTAGGTTGCTCTGCTTGCGCAGAGGAGTAGAGCAGGTCCCTTCCAACCTCAACCAATCTCTGATTCTGTAAGCACTTAGGAAATTAAGCTGCCAACTCCCTGCTGTTACAGCAGTCTAAAATATACCACTGATCTTCCATGCTCTTTCTGTGTAGCTCATTGTGTTTCTCATCTGTACAAGTTTTTAATTTTACTACAGGATGGCTTTTCTGTTTGCTTGCTTTTGTTTTACCTGTGAAACCTGAGAACACAGGGTCTTTTCCAGAGTTAATATCTTTTCTGTTTAAGACCCATGATGGCAGGGGACCAGACAGACATTTATAAATATGGCTCCAGAATAGCACACTTCTTGCAACAGAAAGCAATCATAAAGTATTACAAGGAAAATCTATATCCCATTAGCTCTTAAAATGAAAACCTACAAACACTCTGAGACAAGTTGCTTATCTGCCAGTTCACAGAAACACTGTGGGATGCTGATTTAAATCACCTGGACCCAACCACAGCTCAGATAAGCCTAGTGATTCTTAGTCCTTAGCACCAAGGTAGTCTACTTCTATAAAGACTTACTATAGCTGATCCCAGGGAAATGCAACTATCTCTTTCAGGTCCCTTAGAGGTCCCCTTTTTCATATGATCCTGTATATTATTATATCTTAAGCAATTAGTTTTAAGGCAAAGTGATACAAAATGATGCTGCCTTAAAGACATTTACCATTCATGAATGTGGAGTGATGATACTTCGAACAGGGAACAGCTAAGGTAAAATACAACGTTTGTTACGACAGTGTTAATGACAGAGTATGGCATTGAAATAAGGAGCAATATTAAGGGGATAAGCCCTTCATTACAGAACAAGACATTGCCCAAACAGAGTAAGGTGATGCTTCTCAAATATGGTTGTAAAGTGCAGTCAAGTGCCTAGAAAGAAATCCTGACCCTGTGGTGTGGGATTTAAGGCTGATTAAGAGGTTGAGTTTAGAGAGCTTATTTTCATTGACTATTACAGAGAGACAATAAGAAAGCACGGCTGTGAGATCCAGAAATGATATTGAGCAAATATCCTTAAAAACACAACTAAGAGACTGAAATAGGAACTATGAGAAACCTGCTTTCCATTTTGCATGTACCTTTATCTCTCTTCTATTATCTCTGTTACAGGGTGATTGAAAATCCTATACAAAATCTAAGTTTACTGGCTTTAGTCATTCCCACTCCCCAAAGCTAAAAGGAACACAATAAACTCATGTGTTGCTTTCTCAGTCTTCATTTCTCTTGCAGCTGTTTATGCTTTGCTGTTCTAAAGTTACAGCACTTCTTTAGCTTTTCTTCAGTTAATTCAGCTAATGTATCTGTATTTCCTTGTTTTCCCTTCCATTATTCCTCTCTCTCATGCTCATTTTCTTTATTTTCATTAAGCTCTTTGGTTTGATGTTCTGAGGGTGGTGTTTTGTTTTCACTCCTTATGAAAAGCAATACAAAGTCATCTAAACTATATAAATTTCTAAATAAATAACATGACAAACCTTCTGCAATATTGCTTCCTGAGCATGTAGGATGTACATTCCATAGCGTCTGCATAAAGGAGGCATCCACCTGAATACTTCCATTTGACATGGAGAGATGCTGAAATAAGATCACAGTAACAGGAAACAGTGAAATTTATGCACTTAAAAATACTTAGTAGATTAATTTCTCAACAAAACAAATATACTATAATATACAAAATAAACATACAAATATTCTTTAAAAATTACTAGTCACTTGCTTTTAAAATGAACTCTTCTAAACCTAATCAGCTGACTCCAGCTGCAGGTTAGAAATATCCCACAGTTACAGAAATAAAAACTTCCCAAGATGAAGAATGCTGGTGCATGGAATAAAGGCATGGAAACAGCCTTGTTTTAGGGGTCAAAACCCTTCACTGAGAAAAATGCATTACAACCAGGCATCATTTCATAGATTATCAAAAGATTCATTTGTAAGAATTGCAATCATTTTCCCCAGCTCCTCAGAGTACTTTGTATTTTCCCACCATATATCCACTCGCTAAACAAACAAACCTACCAGGTATCTTTCAGAGGACACACTGACCAGGATAAGATCATCACCTATTCGAACCTTTTCTCCTTCTGACCTTTGTTTAGAAGCAGGGTGTATCGTCCACCAGCATGCCTCACCTAAAGGACAGAGATACTTATCAGGGGCATACAAAACAGACAACTTCCAAGAAATTTAAGGATATCTTTATACAACATTGAAATAACACTGAAGACTTGTGTCTTATAAGACATTCCCCCTACAAAACCACCTCATTCCTCTTTTCAATCCATTTGATTTTTTTTTTATTTTTCCTTGAAACTTTTTGTCTACCAATCTTTGTCATCTCTGAAGCTGGTATTTCTCTTTTCATGTTATTTTAAAGAGAACTTACAAAACATCGCTCAGAACTGCTCTCCCTTGAAGGCTCTCACTACCAGTAAATTGCTGACAGCTACCTCAGTCTTAATTATTACCTTTTGTGTCTTCTTTTGCTTAATGTTCATATTCAGTTCACAATCTTCTGTATCATTTCCACTCTAAACTACATTTATGATGTAGAATACAGAATTTGAAAACAAATACTCCATAACTTTCTAATATTGCTACGCTATAAATACCTGTTCTGGGAGCAGTTCCATTAGCACTATAGACCACACGACTACAGGATACCCATGCCTAAGGGTGACAACCACAGAACGTTTCCTACACATTAAATATGAGATAGTAGATTGCCGCACACACGCACAGACACACACCCTGATTCTGGGAAGATTATCTAATTCATTCCACATCTTCACACCATTCAGGGTTTAGTTAAGACCCTGAAGAAACGGAGTTGGATACGGCTTTCTAACTGGGCAATGCAAAGTGGGAGAAACTTAAACAAAGGCAAAATTGGTATCATAAGACAAAGCACAAAAATCTGTTTGATAAACCAAGAAATTTCATGTAAAACCTCCTTAAAACACAATTTGAAGGTTATGAAAGTAATTATGAAGACGACAATAAATAAAAGATACATCCCTGAATAGTGTAAAGTGCTAAATCTTTGAAAGAGAATAATTTTAAATATCCAGTGGCTTTTCACTCAGTACCTGCTAGGCGAAGAATACTTCCTGCAGCTGAAATTGATTCAGTAGGACAGTGTCATGGGTGGGCTAGTAGGGCAAGGGAAATTGGTATTACGATGTTCGGTTTATCAGGTTTACAAGCACTGAACAGTTATCAAAATACTCTGTGCAGAAACACAACTAAGCATTCCTTTCATGTGTTGCTTTTTATATCTTACCTATGTGTACATGGGTCTTTCTGTATTTGTACAGTTAAGTAAACACCAGTATGAGACAACTACAGACACTTATTACAAAACCACATGGGCACAAGCAGACACACGCAAAATAACGCTGAAAAAAATCTATTAAATTATAAAGACAGATTTCATCGAATCTATTTTCAGAGAGCTAGAACACATACATTCCTTTTATCAACATGCCTAAAGAAAATTGTCTGCATCTAAGGCAGCAATCAAAGATACAATCAAGTAACAGGTTGCTAATATCTTTCTGTATGACTACAAACAACTGAAAGACAAACTTCACTCACTCAAAACAGACAGTCATGTAGATAATCAGAGTCACCTGAAAAGGAAGTTTCAAAGATCATGGTCCACAAACATTTTAACACCTACATTGGTAATGCCTCTCCATCACCAATTAGTCTAATTTGATTTAAATTTATTTTCAAAATAATGAGAAAAACAACAGAAAGCATAATAAGACCAGCATTTCTTTATTTGAAGCTTCACATTAATGAGGTATGTACACAGGTACTTTGATTTTCCCTTCAAGGTATATACGTCTGGGCCTGGGTACGGCAGGGTCACCTGTTACTTTCTGATGAGTATCCATCACTTGCAGTAACCATTAACAGTACATATACAGCAGCACATAAACCTATTTGTGCCTCCTTGTGACTGAGTTGCTTTTAAATTCATTTAACATAGCTCCCAGTGGCATCTCATAATTTATATGTGATTTCATGGAAGCACAATTTTTTTTTCACTATATTTCTGTCAGCAGCACTGTTACTGGCAGTACTCCCGGGAATCTATTAATTAGATTTTAAAACTTTCTCATCATTTCTTATTTGTGTTGTATCTCTTCCACTCTGTCCCACTATTATTTTGCTCCAGCTTATATTTCTATTTTTCTTCAGCTCTTTTAGCAATGTACGCTTTACATTTTTTCTGCTTTCTTGCATTACAAGTTGCATACTTCTTTTGCTGCAGGGTTACAATGTATATTGTGAATACACTGATATACAGCTTTTCTATACTCTAATTCTATTGAAAGTGCCAAACCATACAAATAGAAAACAAATGCATCAAATTTATTTTATTCAATGGAAATTTTTTACATTGACCATTATCACCAGTGTTCTTGCACTTGTGGTAACTCAGTTTCATTGCAATGCACTCTCACATTCTTACACAAAGTCAGTTATTTACTGAAAGTCATCATTACTGACTGTCATTATTTACTTTCAGTCATCTTACTTCTAATGAACACATAAACATGACATTCATAGGCTTACAATGCCATTAATCTCAACGCGTCTTCTAAAAACAGAAACGTGCCATGTTTTCCTTCAAAAATAACTTGCCATACCTGCTGCATTTTCTCGTAGTCCCACATCAAATGCAAGTTTATCAGTCTGGGATCTTGATGATGTTAAACACGTCAAATACTGCACAACAGTGAAGTTATTGAAAACAAAAACCCAACAGTATCCATTAACACACATGCCAAATTAATACATTCACATTACTGCATCTTACTATCAGCCCGTGCTTTTTTTTTTAAAATTAGTTAAGAATGTTGTCATTTGTATAAATGCTCTTCCTGACTTTGAAACATCTTTGTGCAATTCAGCTTCTACCTTCCAAAATTCCACATACATCATCAGATAGGAATGGGCAAACATCTTACTACAGTGTTACTGTAATAAGTTTGCCTCATGAAAACACAGCAGACATACCAAAAGGCAGTAATCGTACTTGCACCTCTGGTATACCAAGGCAACTACAATTGGTATGGTTCATAAATGTAAATAACACTGTTTAAAGATTAATGTAGAGTCTTCTAGTACAGGAAAAGGGAGGGAAGATCTTTTCTTTACTTCTCATTTTTTCAACCTCCTACTAGGTATACTTGCATGGGCCCTAGTAAGTCAAAGATCCAGAACAGTTAAAATTTTCCAGTTGTACTACTTAGTGAAACAAAAGTCTTACAAGGTAGCATGCTTGTGAGCATAGTCTCTGGGAACTATGGAATGCTAAAAGGAACACTTTACCTTATAAAACATGATGGAAAAAATAACACATATCACAACAAATTCATTTGCAATACCAGCAACTCGCTAATGGAATTATCATTAAAATGGAATACTTAAGGACACAGAAATAATCCATGGCCAAAGGAGCTTTTCAGCTACATTTCTGAGTGAAGGGGATTGAAGAATCTGAATTTTAACTATAAGGGCCACTTCCATCTTGTTGAGACACCATAAGTTATTCAAATCTTTTTATCTAGTGCGGAAGAGAACTTAGAAAGAACATTCTTCCAAATTCATAATTTTTTATTTTGATAAAAAAATGTTTATTCGAGTTTCATGCTACTCATTCTGTGCAAGCGCTCTTTCACTTACCATTTCACTAAACGAATGTCGTAGTAGTACAGCGTGGCCATACAGCAGGGTTCTGTGACCACCCCCTTGAGCTGCCTACAGAACACGACAGAGAAGGTCAGAACTCCACTGCACTGTGTGGACTATGATTAGAATTATGTAACAACATCAACAGCTACTACAGTTCACGTAATAAGTGCAAATATCCAAGCAAATTATGAAATGTATATACTGGGCAAAAATCATAATAATGAAGTGGCTATAGCACTATACAAACATCTGCCAAGCAAACAAATGTTGTTCTTGGTCAAAGACTCCTATTGTGACCTAATTTTTATTATAATTAAGTAGAAACACAGCATTTTCAAAAAAATGTTTTAAATTAAATAAGATACTGCTTACCTTTCTTATAAACTTCACAGAAGCATTAAAAAATAATAATAAAATAAGTATATAAACACACAAATAAACTGAAATCTGAAAGAGGAAAAATATACTTATTGCCCAGAATAGTTTAAACATATATTAATGATATCTACTTACTAGGATTAACATTATCTGAAGCATTTTCAGATTTATTACAGCAACTGCATCCATACTTTCAACTGAGCAAAGTTACTAATTTCAAATACAGTATTTTATGACAAGATCAGGGAAATAATTTAACACATATCTTTTGAGCTCCTTTTGGTGACCAGAAGAAAATAAATTCCAAGGGAAGGATCTTAACAAGAAAGTCACCTATGGAACAACAGACAACAAGCTTTACAGGTTTTCAAGTCTGCCTCTCAGCCTTTTTCTGCATCTACCATCTTATTTCCTAGTTGCTTATAAATAACAAGTCTATTCAAACTTAAATAAATTAAACACAACCAAGAAATTAAATTGTTGATTTAGTGTAGTGCTTTCCACTGAAACAAAGATTTTTTTTTTTTTTTTTTTTATCCTCAATCCCAGATTGTATGAAGCACCTTTTTAGGAGAGTTGAGCTCCAAATTTTGCAGAATAATGGGTATCATGATTAATGTTAATACTACTTATACTATGGTGGGCAACATTCATTTTTTCTCTCAGTCCAGATCATAACATTGGCACCCGGTAAGTCTTGGGTAATAATAAAAGGTCTAACATCAGGATCCTGACATCCTCAATCCCAGATTGTATGAAGCACCTTTTTAGGAGAGTTGAGCTCCAAATTTTGCAGAATAATGGGTATCATGATTAATGTTAATACTACTTATACTATGGTGGGCAACATTCATTTTTTCTCTCAGTCCAGATCATAACATTGGCACCCGGTAAGTCTTGGGTAATAATAAAAGGTCTAACATCAGGATCCTGATAACAAGTTACAAAAAACCCCCCAAATCCTACTTCAGTATTCCTAGCTAATAATAAAGATATTAAAAAATAGGGATTTGCGACCTGGTTGTGCTGGAGCTTAAGGCTGTTAACAGATAGTTGACAGTCTTACATAATTTTATGTAGTAAATTATATTGAGAAGTTTCTCAGAATTATATGGATACTATGGATAATCTCTTTAACAATATGATCCATATAATTATGTAAAATTTCTCAGTACACTCAGTAGCAAACTGAAAAAAAACAAACTCTTGGGTAATGATTTTTGGACCCACACAGAAAATGTGTTAGATTATCGCAAAAAATTGGAGACTAATATAAAGCAGTTATTGCTGGTCATTCAGAGAACACAGCATACTTTTAGATATGATTATAAAGAGCTTATGAGAAACAACAAATCAAAAGATTCCAAGGGCTCCTCCAAAATATATCATCCATAAAAAAATGCTTTAAAAATATATCGTGCAGGAACTTATCACCACTTGGGGAAGAAAATCAGAAAAACATAATGTAACAGTGTATATACTACTTCTTTTATAAATTACAACTCTTTTTTAATCAACAAGGAAAACCTTAACAGCAAAATCAACTGTAATAACAGACAGGTTGTCAGAATAAAATTACATGTAGTCAGTTTGTAGCAAATATACGAATACTGACAACAAGCAACGAAACACCTCATGCTATTTTTTTTTACTGGAGGCTTTTACGTGAATCACTTATAAGAAACAACAACAACAAAACCCCAAAAATCAAATAAGCTACGTTCTTCTTCTGGAAAAATCTGAAACTAAGAGCAGAACTCTATTCCAGACTAAATTTAATATGGAAAGCAAGCCATTCAATGGAATGATAGACCAGTAGAACCAACAAAAGATTAATGTTAATCCTATGAGGCCAAATTCTATTCTTAGCAATGCCTTTGTATTGAGAACTGAATGTAAATGAACATTTTAAGATGTGCATTGCTCCATTTCATGCTGTCGTTTTTCTCTACATATATAACGACTACTAAAGAGAGCATTTTGTATAATTCACCTTAAAAATAGCTTTTCCTGAAATCTATTTTAGAAATTATTTATTACTGTATCAATTTGCTTTCATAGTGCTAAAGACAGTGCCTCATAATACAAAATATTTGATTTGTACTTATGACATGTTTCAAAACATAATCAGTTAATTGTAACTTAAAAATTAACTCATTCATTTTACCAATAGCTTGTTGACAGAAGCTAATTCAGAGTCCGCCTTCTCTGCCTGTAACAAATCCTTGTGGTCTAGAAAGAAAGTTTCTTTCATTATCGTTCAAGCTTTCATTTTTTATTTCATCCTTGCTATTTACAGGAACTGCTATGTTCCTATTACAATTTCCCCAATGGATGGTACCCAGCTTCAAAATAAATACAGGGCAAGGTAGTTTTGACATAAATATTGCACAACAGACTGCATTTTTATTGTCCGCTCCCCCAGAGCAACAGCATGATCATTTTTTCTGAAGAGATTATTTTTCCTCTACCGCCAATCCCAAATAAAAATATTCATATATTACTACTAATCTCAGATCAAATGTTTTCGCTAAGTTTTTGGGTGAATATTCTGGAAATGCTAAAAAAATGTGTTATTGCTTAGGAGTCCTAGAGATGTTTAAATCAATCTTACTTTCCCTAAAAAAACGCTTTTTTCAAGAGTTCCATTTTCTAGAAAGCAATGTAACTGCAAAAATAAAAAATTACACTTTAAACTGGAGAAAACAGTGGAAAACATGAGGTCATTAACAATGATGTCTGAAAATCATGTATGCAAAGGCTGACATTGCAAGATTGGAGGTGACAGAGCAGAACTCCAGCTTCTCTGAGCTCTGCCATGACACGGGTCAGTTAAAAATCTGGAGTGCAGAATAAGCCAGTAGGTTGTGGTTATCCTGTTGCTAAGTTACAGAGAAGAATAAAGGTTCTTCTACTTTCCAAAAAGTCAAAAGGGAGGAAGAATTTAACACCTGTGAATCAAATATCAGCATAAGTAAACATTAACTGAAATACTGAAGTCCTTCTGAGTATGCATAATACAGTCTTTCCACGGCACGTATCTCATCCCCGTGCAATCTAAACGAGAAAGATAGCTACCAGAATGACAAAATCATATAGAAATAAAATAATGAGTGATCATCAGATATTAATTTATTTCCCTTTATCTTTTCAAGCTGACATATTTTTGAAATAGAATCCATATTTGTTATTTCAGAGAATCATAGAATCATTAAGGTTGGAAAAGACCTCTAAGATCCTCAAGTCCAACCGTCACTATCATCTTCCTCTCTTAGATTGTAAGATATAAAAAAAGATAGAAAATATTTAGTGGATTTTGATTTATAAACTATAATAATATTTGTTTACTATGGTAAAGGCCAAAATTTGTATCCAATAATTTCATGGCTATATCATTTAGCCTATACTCTATTTAGATGCTTTCCCGATTTTGTACAGAACAGTTAATTCCTGAGAGGTATTCAAGAATTTCACAATATTCAAAGTTACTCTATTGGCTATTTATGCTGATGTATCACTACCACAGTTTAATACTGTACTAAGAAAGAATTTTTTAAAATAGCAAATAAAATAATAAAATCATTGGTTTCATGCATTTGAAACAACAAACTGATGGAGGCCTGCTGGACTACTGTCACTGAAGTTTTGAGTATTAAACGCGTGAATCAGCAACAATTCTCTCAACAACTAAGAAAATTTCTCCTTAGAAATTACTTTATTCCACCACATATACTAGGCAGTGTTCACAATGTATACAACACCTCAGGGCATTTTAAGACACTTTCTGTAGTTTATCCTAAACTGAACTCCTACGGACTTACGGCCACTATCCGCTGATAATAATACAAAATGTGTCTCATTGTTTTAGCCTAAAAAGCTGAACTGTGCCTTATTTAGAGGAATAAAGGAGAACAAAACAGGCAGTAAGAATGCTCTCTCTGTGTGTGCATACATATATTTCTATATGAATATGGTTTATACACCTTGGTGCTACATGTCATGAATATACATATCTCCTAATTGAACTGATATGATTTCCACACATAAGTAAAACAGAAAAAGCTTACAGAAAATTAGTATTCTTTAATAGAACGAAAGGTAGGTACTGAAGATGGCATTATAAAATCATGAAAGCATAAAACTGTAAAGTTTCACTCTTTCTCCTCAGTTTTTAAAATTTAAAATTTTCACTCTTTCTCCTCAGTTTTTAAAATTTAAATTCTGCTGCCACGTTATTCAGATAAAAAAAAAATCTTAGTTTTGAGTCATTTAATACTTACTGAGCTGCATGAAAACATGTCATTAGTGCTATTTGCTTTGAGATGACATAAAGCTTGGGCAAATTATTTGATTTCAGGTGAACATTTTATAAATTACGATACATATTTGACCACATTTATTTTTGACCTTTTTAAAAAATAAGAATGTTTTCAAAAACAATTTTTTTCTCTTCCTTCTTGCCTAGAGCATACAATCTATTAAAAGTTTCAATAAGCAATCATTGAGCAGCCAGTCACAGCCGGAGTTATACTTAGATTTCCTCTGAAAAACAAGACTCACTGTTAGGCAACAAATGCTTAGGTAGTGCACCTAATTTACAAATAGATAAAATTGAAAAGTGTTTTAAAATGGTGAATTGTTGCACAACAATGAAAAGACTGCACAATGAACGGTAATTTATAATTCAAGAGAAAAAAATATCAAAAATTTATTCTATAGACATTTTCACCTTTAGAAAAATAATACACATTTGAATGGATCGCTTCTGCACAGATGGATATGACATTCAAAAAATTAGACTCAAGTAAATAAAAGACCCTTTTGATTGTCCCTCTATGATGGCATGGTGGTGATGGGTATAGTAGGCATGGTGGTGATGGGTTGACAGTTGGACTCCTTCCAACCTTAAGGATTCTATGATTCTATGGTATTTACTTAAATCATAAAATTCCCCTTCTCCCATATATTATTCTATTTTATTTTCTAGTATTGTACTAAGAAAGGAAGAAAACACTAAAACTGCACGCACAGTATAAGAATCCCAGAAAGAAATCAAAAGAAATCTCTCATCATGAAACAATTTCAGCACAAATTTCTACTCGACCAAAAAAATATTATAGTAAAAAGTTATCTTTAAGTAAATTTCTTTAAATAATACTGAGATTACTTGTATTTTTATGTTTGATTTCTTCCTCAGACAACTATTTTTCTTTTTACTTAATGTGACAGAGTCTTAATTCTGTGTGTAAGTACAATAAAAAGAAATTACAGCTCAAAGAAAATACGAGTTTTCTACTTCTACATAAAATAAATATGAAAACTGACAGACTATCTAGCTCTGCAGAGTCTTTGCATCATAATTAGTTGCCATTCAGTCTCTTAAAAATAAGTAAAACCACAGTTTTATCATGCTCTGTTTGTAAGACAATAAAAGTTAAATTAAATTCAGTTCAGCTGAAGTTGGAGAATTGGAGTCAAAGCAATCAAATTAAGATAAGTCTTCCACTCAGGCTTTTGGACTATGCTGGGAAATCAGTTAAAGCACAGCATCACAGAAGATAATAGCATGCTGATCTGGTCAGGCAGCAAAATCTGAGAGGTATTGTAAACATCAATGCACTGAGGTTGCACGCAAAAAATTTAAGAGTTTAGTCAACCTTAAGAGACATACATGTGACTATTACCAAATTTAACTCTAAGTGAGAGTGAAACGCAGGCAGTTTTTATTGACACAAGTTTCATGGTTTCATGGTGCCAGAAAGCAATTACAGAATCTGTCATAACAAATAAACATTGCAATGTCTTATTTTATATTAATTTGTTACTAATACTCCACCCCATACATTAGGAAGTAGCATATCCACTTTTTTTCAGATTTCAGTTGTTCACTGAATAGAAGAAAACAATAAAGATGAAGTCACATTTTATTTTAAATTGCTAAAAGTTATACACGTGAATATAACAGAGCAGTTACCAACAGAGAGGAGATCATAGGTCAATTTCATTCACTTTCAGAGAAACAAAAGCTCTACCTAAGTACATAGAACTAGACAACTTACCTAAATTATCTACTTAAAGATTTCATAGATGCAACAGCAACCAGAAGTATTAGTGCATAGATGAGAGGTAAGTCCGTCTCATCTCAACAACTAGCAATGAGGTTCAGCTGATCATTGAAAAATGATCATTGTTCATGCAGATCATTGACAAAACAGGCAAATCTGTACCTGGGGTTTGGATTTGGCTTAATTTTTCCTTATAACACCATCACCTTTTGCCAAATAATTAGCTTAGAAGTTCTATGAAAAATACAGTTCTTAAATAACTTTGTCAATAAAAATTAATGTATAATAAAGTGCACAGGGGTTTTTTGGCATCCTGATCACTCCAGTGCGGAAGTCCTCTTTCGGTCATTCTTAGTATATCTTAGATTTGAAGTGATAATTTAATTGAAACTTTAGTAATATGAAATGCAAGCATAGTTACAACATTTCACTTTACTGCAAAGTCACTTTACATTGTACTGTAAGCATTCCAGCAAGTATGCTTGTGCTAATACAGTAAAAGATTAAGAAACCCAAAGAAGAGAATTCTGAAATAACTACTTCTATACAACAGTTCTTGCTTGTTACCAGAGATTAAATAACTTGAAATTATACTGAAACAGTTTAATTACAGTAGTACAAAAAAAAAATTTTATTTTTATATCTGAACTAAAATAAATTATTTTTTTTCACTTTGTTTCATTGCTAGGACTGTTAATTTCATGTGAGGATAAATCAAATTAAATCCAAATACCTGAAACACTTTCTTAGCTTAGTGAAATGAGATGGGATATTGACATGATGAAAAAAATATTTTGCTTTCCCCCTTAATAAATAGTACTATAATACAAAAATGCTTTTATGGCAATGATTTATGTTTCAGACAAAACCTATCTCATATACTCTCCTCAGGTTCACAAAAGCCAGACTCAGTGCAAAGGTTGTTTTACTCCTTCTTAAGCATCCAGCTCTGGACAGATGGTAATAAATGATCTCTGAAGATGGCGTTTCTGTAAATATTTCAAAAGACTAACTGCACCTGCTCCTCAATGCTAAAGAGAAATGATATGATTATAGTAGCAGGAAAACAAGAAAACTGAAGAATCTGCTATGACATGAGGCTCCTCTCCTAGAAAATCCTGAAGCTAGGAAAGAAATGAGAACAACCCATATTGAGAAATTTTAATATTTACTTACCCCTTCACTAGCATTATCACCTGTGTTGGTCAGCATTTCTTGAAGGGCTCTGACAGATAGGGACTGTTCAAGGACAAAATTACAGATGCAAAGGTCCGGAGGAACATACTGTAAAAATAAATTAAACAGCGTAAGAACAGATCAGTAAAGCAGGTGAAACAGGATGAAAAGTGTGTTTGAACACACATGTATTTTAAAATCCATATCTGTTTACTCATTTATTTTTGAGACATGTTATTTCCCTTTATGAAAATAATATAAATCCATTCTTCATGTGTTGTCCATGCAGTAACTTTAGTTTTCCTAGAGCTGTATTCCTCACAGTAAAATAAAACATCTTCGGGTTCAAAAGTAGAAAGTTTTTCTTTACATATTATTGCTTTCCTGTCTTTTAGAATTACACCATGAACATTGTATTTGTTCTCTAATGACATTGACAGAAGAGGTGTATGATCTTACTTGCTGTATAAGGTTGACACTCTGAACATATTTATAGCTGTCACTAAATGGAAAAGATTCAGAATCTAGTACTGTGAACTTTTAGGAGATCTTCTCAGTTGTTGGATCAATACGACTGTTGGTTTTGAAACATGAAACTTACATTCACTTCAAGAATAGCAGACTTTTTTTCAATTCATTGGCACTGATGTGTCCAAGAAAAAAAGTCTCAAGGAGAATCGTCAATGTATGTAATATGTGACAGGAGAGTAAAAAGGAGACAGAGCCAGACACAAATTGAAATACAAGAAGTTCAATCCAAACATGAAGAAAAAAACCCCTTTCTTCTGTAAGCATGGTAAACACTGGAACAGGTTGCCCAGAGAGGCTCTGGAGTCTCCACCCTTGGAGATATTCAAACCCTGACTGGACAGCGTCCTGAGCAACCTGCTCTCGCTGAACCCTATCTGAGCAGAGGGGTTGGACTTGATGATCTCCACAGTTCCTTTCCAACCTCAATGATTCAGTATTGTGTGATTTATGATACAGCTCATGGCTATGAGTGAGCTTTAAAGTAGATATGCGCTCCTTTTTCTTTTTTAAATCAGTGTGACAGGAAGGAATAAAATTCTTGACAGTGCTAAGTTTTAAGCTGGTGAAAAGGTAAATCATACAATTAAGAGATTGCTAAACTTGCTGAAGTTCTTACAGCAAGGTAACCAAGTACGGTCTTAGAATTCACACCCTTTGATCCCTACTATAGACCCTAATTTTTTCTTTTTTTTTGTGGGGGGGGAGGTGTTTAAACATTTTGGAAAGGACTTTTAGGCCAATGACTTGACAATGAAATGGCATACGTTAGAGAGAGATATATAGTTATTACATAGATTATTGTGGTGAACTCTTGCATCTTTCTTATGCAACTAAATAAATAATGTAAATAAATGTAAATAGTAAGCAGCTGATTATTTCATTAACTGCCACAGGAACAACTTAAACTGTAATACTTGTCATCAGTCATCTCTACTAAGGGGTATTATTTTTTTATCATTCATTAACAGCATCTGTGTACATATACACACACAGAACAAACTCTGTTATATAAACACATATTATACATGCATATGAGTGTGTTCGTGTGTGTATGTAGCATCCGTTTACATGCTCATATGTGTACATGGATTGTAAATGGAAGTTTACTCTTTAACAGGTTACATTCAAGGCCTCTTATATAACCAGACACAGGAAGATAATGTAATTTCTCAGTGAAATTAATTACAAACAAAACTAGGTTAGATTTTTTGTCTCCTATTTGTTAGTTAAATCTGGACAGATTTTTTTAGAATATTTTTGTGCTATGAACATAAAAATCTATACAACATTAAAAAGTCTCTACTTCCCAATGAACGAGACGCGTAAACAAAACTTCTGAATAATACTTCACCCATTACTTTACTGCCTTTAATTGCACCCAGCAGGCAAATAAGCCACATTATTATCAAAAATACCCCAAAAAAACCAAAAGTCCCAAAGAAAAAACCTAGATATTTTTCTGTTGTCAGCCTGTGGAAGCTTTCAGATTATGCAGCACACATTCTATTGACATTTTGAGTCTCTATTAACCCATGCTATCCTTAAAGTACATTTGAATTTAAAAAAAACACAACAATTTTTATAACGTCCTTCTATTTTCAACATGAAACTTAAATTCAGAAATTAAACTGGAATTTTATCCGGGAAAAAAATAACATAGCTGGTAATCTAGTTCTAATCAGCATCAGAACACCTCTGGCACTTAATCCCACTCCAAACGGAATATGGCATAGTCAGTACGATCCAACACTTACTAAGTGAACAAAAGAACACCCATCTGTTTCACTGGCCACTGCTCTTGTGCCTCACAGGCTGCATTTTGATTTGAAAACTGTAACAGCTCTTAACTTTAGTGCTATATTAAGGAAAGACACACTCTAAAACAATGTACTCCTGGTCAGTTTGTATAAAATGTACACCTTAGGTTAACAAAATTAATTTTTCACTTCTTTTTCATAGCCTATGGAGCTTCCAGTTTTATCTAAGAATATCGACGATGAGAACTATGAAATTAATGGTTTTTCCACCCATGACTTACAGCAGCTAACCCCTCTTTCAAACTCGCAGTGTTACACAATAAGCTAACACATGCATGCTATCACATATCCAATTTCTGCGGATGGACGGCAAGAAATTATTTTTCAAATTCCACTGACCTGAGAAATACCAACAAAAGGTAATTTATGTGAATGGTACATTACTTAAGTAGCAACTAACCTCCTCAATTACTCTAGATTGCTTCTTTTTGTAAAAAAAAAAAATTAAAAATAACTAAAAAATTAACCATTGAGTCTGTCAAGGCTCATTTGCTTTCTGGTCTTCTTGCAAACAACATTGTTTCCGAAGTTTGATATTCAACAATATCTGTTTGGCAGATCATTTTACACTCTTAATAATTACACAGATAAAAACGGTTTAATAAAATCTTGGACCATCTGCTCATCTATGCTTTTTTTTTCCAGTTCTGAGCAATGTTGTATTGTAATGGAATACCACGCCAAGAAGTGGGATGTTCACTGAAACAAAAATACTGAGACATGAGAGCTACAGGTAGTAGGTGGGGAAATATTAATGTCAAGAATCTTTATGCTGAAACGAAAAACAAAATCTGTTCAGGTACTAAGAGAAAGTTTTAGAAATCTGCTGTAAAGTAACAATAGGCATAGGTATTTATCCTCCTTCTGGCTATGGGAAGTTGGAATGAACATACAGAAGCAAGACAACATCATTGTCAAGAATCATCAAAGAAAAGAATTCAAGTGGAGAATAAAGTATTTATTTTACAGGCATTTAAATATATGCCAAGCAAGCATTAGTGTAAGTGAATTTGTGTAGCAAATAAGTAGACTCATAAGATATATGATAAAAGAAAGCAGGAGTTTTGAGTAAATGGTTCTTCAAAGTCAGTGACAGTTTCTGAAAGTTCTTCCAGCATACCTCTATGCAGTCTTTCCATACGTACAGGAAGATAAACAAAAAGACAAGATTGATATAGGAAACATACACAAATTTGCAAAGCAAATCTGAAGAAACAACTGACAGTTCTACCCTGACATCTGCTCTTTTTATAAGAAGAAAATCTTTATTTCTGAGATTATTTCCATTCCAAACAGGTCTTCCACGTAGAATTACCAGTTTTCCATCACCACACTCATAACACTGAATATACCTCATTTTTCTGAATGAGGTGTTAAGATAAATATAACTAGCTACTGAACTGGAAATGTTCACTAGATGTGCAAAAAACCGGAGTCATAATATAACTCTATTTCCTCACAGAAATGAATTGGAGTCCAGGTCAAATTACTTTAATTTCATCTAAATCGATTTCTGGAGGAAGAGCAGAGAGCAGGTGAAGTACAACGAGGTCAAAGCTAATAGTAGAGGTGACATGAGGAAACATACAAGCTACACAGGAGCTAGAGAGGATCAACATAAGCAGCTGTAGAAAAAATGAAGACCTACAGCAAGGAAAACGAGCCACGCTTTGTAATGAATTTTAAAACATTACGTCTATCAATATGTAGGTTTTCTCTATCAAACAGTTCAAAATACATTACAGAAAGTACAGAACAGAACAGCAAACCACCATTTTCACAGACTTCTCATCTGCCTTAGTTTTCCATTTAAAAGGGAGACCTTGGAGAAAAATTTTCTCCTGTAAGGTACACTGTGATTTACTGATAAAATATAGTATTTTCAGAATTTGATATTATTTATTAACATTGTAAAGGTAGTTGAATAGCTAGTCATCAGTAGTGAAGAAGAGCTACCCATCCTAAGCCAGTCAGTAACACACACTGGTCTAATTTTCACTCACAGTGTCTTATAATGGACAACAAATTGCAGCAAGAAAAAAATAAAGCCACAGGAATAACCACTGGTAAGGCTACACCTGGAGTACTGTGCCCAGATCTGGGCTCCCCGGTAAAAAAGCAGTATAAAGCTACTGGACAGAGTCCAGTAAATGGCCACTAAGAAGATTAAGGGACTGGAGTATCTCTCATATGAGGAAGAGATGAGATGATGATCAATGTGTATGAATACCTTAAGCAACGGTGCAAAGAAGACAGAGCCTGGCTCTTCTCCGTGGTGCCCAGTGACAGGACCAGAGCCAATGGGCATAAACTGAAACACAGGAGGGTCCGTCTGAACATCAGGAAACGCTTTCTCACTCTGAGGGTGCCCGAGCACTGGCACAGGTTGCCCAGAGAGGTTGTAGAGTTTCCGTCCTTGGAGATATTCAAAAGCCGCCTGGTCATTGTCCTGGGCAACCTGTTCTAGGTTGCTCTGCTTGCGCAGAGGATTAGAGCAGGTCCCTTCCAACCTCAACCACTCTCTGATTCTGTGAAGAGTAAACTGCAATGAAGTTTCTAATACCAGGCTTCTACATACAATCCAAAGGTGGATAATAGTTTGACTCCATGCACACAGTTAATGCTGGCTGAAACATTGTTACAAGCACATTCTGGTGAAGAGAGTTTCATATCAAAAGATTTCAAGGATATTTTTCTACATCAAAGAAACACAGCCAGGCAAGCACAAAGTGGAAGGGGAGGGAGCACCGAGATAAGTTTTATACTGAAGTTCAAACCTGATCCTCATCTATTTTGTCAGCCTATTACTATTTCAATATGCAATTATTATTATTTATTAAAACATAATAGCTGTGCAAATATAACATATATATATAATTACGCTAAGTTTGTGCTGGGTTGCCTAGGGGAAAATAGAGGCCCATAACATAGCCAATAGGAAAACTCAGCTCCCACATTACACTTTGAATGCAATTCAGTCTTCTGGATTCCTCATGCACTATCATATCCTTAAATTCTTGCAGCTGATATGCTTACTAACCAAACCTTTGCCCACTGGTCTGCTGTGTAAAAACAACTGACATAAGCTGGTACAGGTTACTGATTTACTAGGTTTATTTTTTACCAGACCTGTAAACTATTACATTCTGTCATTAGGACAGAAATCTTCTCTTAATTAGTTATAATTCCTTTCAAGCATTGAAGTTTACCAGATAGTTTTGCTACTAAAAGAGATGCTAGTACACTGCAGTTATTTTTGAGGTATATTTTTCTTGGGTGTCAGTAGAAGTTAGACTTGTTGCACTAGACTATCAGCTTGGAAATACATCATCTTCTGAAGTATCACCTTAAAAACAAGGAAAACGGCAATGAAGTAATGTAATTAGATCACATCATTCAATAATTCCGCTATTTCTTGTTTAGTATGAAGAATATAATTTTTCACCTCTAATTAATTAGATTTTTCGCCTTACATTTTAAATATCAGCCATTATCTAGGCAAAAATCTTCTGATAATCAAAAAGAAGCCATATAGACAGTAGGAACATAATTTCATACTACTGAAATAATGCAAAAGTGTTTTTAAAAATGCATTTAAAATCCAGTTCCCATAATACAAATTATTAGCAAACCAACACTGTAATAGTTTTTACTAATAAATTGTAAAGAAATAACATGCAAGTTGCTTATGGATTTATAGTAAAATTTGAACAGAAGGATCTCATTATCGTTATTTCCTTCAGCATGCACAAAAAATACCAAAACAATTAATGGTCAACCATAGAAACTCCGTTTTTTCCTCTTTAAGTTTCTAAGAACTTCTTTTTTTAGGAAATACACCTTTTCTTCTTTGACTTCCTTTCCTTTTAGCTAATTCTATCTTCTGACTTCTACTACATACAACTCAGATTAAAAAGTTAATAATGAAGTCACACTTTTTCATTCAGGAATTAACAGATACACTGAGATTTTTTCCTGTCTATCTTACATTTTTCAGAATTACTTGAATGGAAAAGCATTTCTTAACAATATTTTGCCAAAGTTTAATGAATGAAGAAGCTCTTACATGCACTGCAATTGATTTTGGCTTTGGTAAAGTGGTCGACTGGAAAAGAGAAGGTAGTAGAAGGCATCACTGTGATTTTCTACTCTGGACTTCTGTTGATAAACATGCTTTGAATCTTCTTTAATGCAATTTCTTCTTAATACACAGCAGAAATCTAGCTTTATAAAGTAATTTCCAGGGATAAGGAAGGGATAAGGAATCCATCTCAGGTAAACAGTACCATTTTAGAAGGACAGTCTTATACTGTCTAAAATAAAAGGACTTCTGTTATCAGTGTTCCCATTTTAGAAGCTTATGGGCAGTCTCCATACTTTCCTTTTTTTTAAAATCAAACAGACTATGTCCTCCTCCAATCATGCTTCTCGTAGCACTTCCTGAAGCAATCTCCATTTTATCAACATCCTTATGAATTTGAATGCCATGACTGTACTCCATATTCCAGCAGCGTTGCCACACAGACCAAAAAAAAAAAAAAAAATCCCCAAATCTGCAGAGATAGTACAACTTCCTGTCTCCTACCAAGTTTCTTTCTCTAAAGACTATGCTAGATTCCTTGAGCACATCATCACTCAGGCAACTTACGACAGTGTAGCATCCACCATGACCTTCACATGCCTTACAGGGGACAAGAATAGTTTCCCATTTTGTAAGCATATTTACATGCTCAGTTATTAGACTTTACACTGGCAGCACTGAAATACACCTCTACTTTCTATTAATATACATGGCACTGCAGATCTTCCTCTGTGTGGCATGATTTCATCAATGGCCAGGTCCCCAACATTTTTATCACCTGAAAAAATTGCATAGTTTAATATAAATAATGTCTTAATTGACAAAAATACTCAAGACCATAGCAGTGAGAACAAAACCCTGTAGGATTTGATTAGAAACACATCTATTCAATAACTATTTTTTAGTCCACTGGATGTGTGCCATTTTGGTTTTTTCTTTCTCATTTCATAACCAAAATTCTATCCAAGTGTAAATGAAAGTAAGTTTCACCTCTAAGGGCTGCTGGTAACTATTGTACTCTCTAACCACCCAGATCAACCTTCCACACTTCCTATTTTTCAAACAGATGTATTTACACACCTCTCCAAAATTCTTCACTATTCTGAGACAAGACCAGCAGTTCAAAAAGCTCCTTGATAAGCTCTTTTAAAGCAGTTGCATACAAGTTTTACAAGTTTTCTGAACCTCTTAATTTTAAACAAACTTCAGAAGCTTCTATAGCTTCTATTACCTGCTACTAAGACACTTACAAAATGTAAAGTACATCTATGGCTTTCTACAGTAACGCACACTATTGCTCTTTTTCTTCTAAGATGCGCAACATGCTGTCCTACAGATTAAGATAGTCATCATCAGTAATAAACAGACCACACTGCAGTTGAGCTGTCAATTAATAAAAAATTTCCAATCACTGTTGAAGATATTAAGACAATAGCTAAAAATGCATATGAGAAAACTAACTGCTTTTACTTAAGCATCTGAAAAGATTATTGGTGATTTGTAAAATGTACACTGTACATAAATTATCTGACTGAACTCCTGGAATGCAAAGAAATGCAAATTTAGAAGCAGCATAATTTTTCACCTTAGATATGAAAAAGAACCTCTCATATTGCATAAACACACACTGTGGATGTAACATGGTCGTAATACCTAGACTAAAAATAAGACCATGCGGCAACTTTTCAAGAGAAAAGATACAAAGACCCCACTAAAAAAAAAAAAATTAGAAGGTGAAATAAATTGTCAGGAAGATGAGAAAAGAAATTAAAACACAAAACAAAGAAAAATAAAATGATGCAGAGAGAACACAGAAGAGAGGGAGAAGGTCCTTTTCTGCCTTTATTTTTAACTTTCTGCTCTAGTACAGGTCTAAAGTTTCATCTCTTCTCTCTCCTCTCAGTCTTCCCTTACTACTCTGTTTTCTTCTATTCTTTCTTCATATCTCTCTAGTGTCTTGTTTCCATTTGCCACCCATTATCTTTAAAACTTTTCAATTACTTAATAATTTTGTTCCCTGTACTTTCAACTTTTTGATTAATCAACACAGTTAGAAGCAACACATAATGCCCGTAACTAACAGGTGACAATGCTTCTAAAATTATCAATCCAGTATATCAAGATATTTGAACCTACAGCAGTAATAGGAATACATTTTTTAATGACCTAACATCTTAATAACAGTCTGGAGACTTAATCTTGAAAATATGAAGTATTTCAGTTACAGTAATTGTTTTAAATAGTTAAAGAATAGTGGCTTTTGACTGTTAACAGGTATGCCTCAAAGTATATTTAGAATCTCTATGAAATCTCATGTTGTGGTCACAGAAAGAAAAGCCTACAAAAGGTGCATCTGGTATCACATTAAAGTAACCATAATTAAATGTGCTTGTGGATAATAAGTAGGTTAAAATTCACTGATCAGTTACACCAGTTGAGAGTATCGACTTCTTACTTTAGCTTCTGATGTTGGTTCCAAAAAGCACAGGCGATTCCCAAGTCCCTCAGCTGCCAAGCAAAACTTCCTTTGTTCTTTGTGAATACTGGCAACACACTGAAGTACTACTTCGTCATCCTGTCACAGAAGAAGGAAGAGAAAAAAAGTAAACATTTGGAAGCTATATACACACTATAACGCTAAGAAATCCTGGAACATGGAAGCTGTTGAACACATTATAATCCTGTAAGTGAAATCACATACATACACAAAGATTCTTTTGATGTGTATGTAAACAGATGTTTATGTACAGTTTTATATTCAAAACTATATCAAAGTGACAAAGACTACATACTGTCCCTAGGGCCTTCACAAGTGTTGTGTCCTTCTGTTGCTTTAGCAGTGGCTTGCTATGGTGCCACAGAAAACTGTAAGTACACTGTTACTCAGTTTTACCCAGTAAAACATGTTTAATGTTTACAGTAAAAACCAGTTACTGTGATTTTGCAAACAACAGTAACCTAAATATAAACAAATTTACTTCATTAGCACAGCAAGCCCTCAACACAAGTCCTCTGAATGTATGATCTTAACTTCTATGGTTCTTGTTTAATTTAGAAACCTCTGAGTACAACAAAAGATCCAAGAGGGATTTTTCACGTGACAGTTCAAATAAGTCATAAGAACTTGCTCCTCAAAAGACATATTCCAAGAATAAGAACACTCTGGAAAAGTGACATGAAACAGCCCTACTGTTTAGTTATCCTAATTATTCTGAAAGCTGTTTTACAAATTGTTACATAATGCAATGCCAAAGACACACTTACTTATAAAGTGCCAAGCCCTTATTCACCTCTCAACTTGTGATACTAAAGCTGATATAAGCGAGCTAAAACAGATTATTTTTAGTGTTCAACTGTGCCAAAGGTACACACAGAATTAAAAACCATTTTCTTTTCCAAAATATGTTCATTAACCAAGAAAAACAGCACTTGCAGACTAGCATGTAGAAGAACTTATTTTTATACAGGTCTGTAACCGTTCACCGAAAGACACTGCCTTAGAAGTTTTTAAGGGGGCGGAAGCTGATAAAACAAGAGCGATATGATATGTCAGTGTCTCATCCAGCTATGAAGTTATACTGGTGTCAATTATTATTATCAAAGCAGATACACAACAGTTGCCTGTACTGAACTCGGAGATCACTTGAACAATTATGTTCTAAAAGCAGCACTGCTTTTTCCAGTCCCCTTATGCAACTGCAATACTATGACAGTAGCACAGCTACTCGCACTTGAAATAAAAGCTTGGAGTGTCTAAGTGATTTTCACCCTTTAAAATGGGAATTCAAAAGCAGGTTTTTCACTTGTGTGATTTTACAAGTGTGTGCAACTTACACAGCTATCTTTTAGGTGACACTTCACTGCCTCCTTACTACTTCTAAAAAGGACAGCTATTATATTTCACACTAATCAGCAGTTACAGACAGTGTTTTCCTTACCTAGCTTTGCATAACAATCAATAGCATTTTTAACAGTACAGAATGGCAATTCAAGAAATTTTTATAAACAATTCTAAGATGTATAGTCAAGTAGAAGGTAGACAGAATTAGCTAATTAATGCTAAACAATTTCATTTTCTTTTTCCTCTGCTGCTTCTGCTTCCATTTCTGTAAAATATTCTCTGAAACTCTCAGCTTTCAAACTCATTAGTAAAAACATTTCTAGTTTTTAAACTTTAGTGTAATAAGTTGCAAAATATAAACAATACAATTAAGGACTGATTACTATGTCCCTCTGTTCATAAATTTTTAAAAATTGCCATCAGAAGCATATCTATTTGGGGGGTGAAATCAGAACATGTATAAGACAAAAAATAAAGGTATTTAAAACATTTTTCATCATCTGGTTCCTGTATCAATCTTTGAACATACATACTTCAGAGATTTAAAAAGAATAAAATACTGAAACATTTATACATACCATGATTTAGAATAAAATTGAGATTTGCCACTTAGCTTGTGCTTATCAGTGAATTACATTAAATTACTTATATACAGCTGAAACTGCATTGATTCCCCCTACTACATTAAAGTATTCAATAGTGTTCAACATCAGTGCTTCACATTATTCCCCTAAATTTCCAATGTACCCTTTCATTTGTGCTACAACATTTAATAAACTATGTATTTGCTACATTGGATGAACAACTTTAACAGAGTTTATAAAAAGTGGCAATAATAGTGTATTTCAGAATGTTTTGTAGCAGAGTTCCAAAGTGTTCATCATTCCGGTGCAGGTGGACTGAGCATAAGGAATTAATGGAATCTATACAATGCAGATAAGACAATGACTCGCTGTTAAGATGACTCAGTATTGTAGTGTACTTACTGAAGTAAGATCATTCTAGTTGAGGCCTGAAGACACTAACAGAAATGAGTTTTATGGAGTTGCTATCCTATAATGAAACTGCAGACCATGTCGCAGCAGTATCTTGTTTTCTTGAGTCTTTTCCCACACTAATTCTGGTATTCTAAAAATTTTTTCCTGGTAAACTCATTTTCTTCTTCCCTTAGTTTTTAAAAACACATGGTGCTAGAGCCATTTAACTTTGATCTTCACTTGTCTTATACAGAATTTCATCCATTTACTTAAATATAGCTTTTTTAATATGACAAGGAGAAGCCTGCAAGTCCAATGAGATGTGGAGACTCATGTGATGAGAAGTGATGAGTTGTTAGTTACGTTATACATGGCCAATTATCAAAGATAACCAAATGCAAAGCAAAAGAAAAAAAAAAACCATGCAACTTCCTTGAGGTCCAGTTTGTCAAGCAGGAATTTAACGAATTTAAATGTTTTAAATTTAGTAAGTATTTTAAATGCGTTCTTTCTGATCTAGCAGCTCTGACATTTCCATATTTGTTCTAGTCCTTCTAGTTTTGGTGGGGTTTTTTGTTGTGTTTTTTTTTTTTTTAATGAGACAGGTTTAGAGTGCATGGAATCACAGGCTAGAAAGGCCCTCTGTAAGCAATGATCCAGCCCCTCACTACAGAAGGAATAATTAGATCATCTGAGACACTTGATGGAAATGTGCTTAATTTAGAAAAAAGTCCACTTCAAAGTTCTGATCAGCCTGAGGTATTGTTACAGATTCACACCTCTCTCTCCACAACACGTTACACCTTGTCAGATCAAAACTGTAATATGCAACAGCTGTATGAAAATTCTCTAACTTTTTCAGTGCTTTGCTTCATTGAGCAAATGGAGAATAATTTCAAGTTGATCAAAACACCTAGCACACAGAAAAATAACATATTTGCATACCACTAGACCTCTCACAAGAAACTGCCTTCGCTGTTGTTCCTCAAAAAGTACACACATTCTAAGTGCCAATTACTAATATCGGGTTTCCACCAGTAGCATCATCAGTAATTACACTAAGTTAACCATGAGATCCATTTTGTACTACCATAATGAATATCTATTCACAAATACAGGCAAAGAGCAAGTTTTAACATGATTGAAGAGGAAGTGGAAATTCTCCCCTTCTGTCCAGAAATTTCTGATCTGGTTAGGCTTCATCCATCAGTCCTTTAGCAAAAGGACACAGACCAGGTAACTCCAACCTCAGTTCTATGAATGTTTATAACGTGAAACACTATAACGTGAAACATTGATATTACTAAATACTAATTACTATTCACACAAACGCATGACTTTAGCAAAAAAGAAAAAAAGACAGTTTTGGAGATTTGATTTCTTTTTTTGTAAGTGGGTGACTACACAACTGTGTGTACTGAAAACATAAATTCCTACTTGCTTCGGACAGAGCTGAAGCTGCAGTCTGAATTTGCACTATATACTAATGGCTGCATAGGCCAAGAAACAAAGGTATTTCTGAATGAGAGTCACTTACTACGTTCTGCTTTTAAGATGGAAAAAGTTACCAAAATAGAATGTGGCTTTTCATAAAAGTACACCTAACATTAAACAATTTATTTAACTGAAAACTGTGATTCCTAGCCTTCAGCAATACAGCACTAAGCAGCATACTATGCAATTTTAAAAAAGAGTTTTTAATGAACCTCATTGCAGTGGTTCATTACCACACAGTATTTAGTCTTGATCTTCAGGCATCTTCCTCCTCAGGTTTCGTAATAAAGTGATGGTGGACTTAAACTGAGTTTCCTGTGATTAAGTAATAAGCCAAAACATAAACAAAATCTATTTTCATTAATCAATTGCTGCAAAGTGAGTAAATTCTCAAGGTGAATCAATGTATTGTAGGCATGACCTTGCTTCCACTCAGTTCACTGGTTTTTCAACTCAGAATTTGAGAATAAAGAAATTCCAACAGCTAATAAAACTCCTTCCTCATTTATCTTGCATATATATCCCAGAATAAAGAATTATAGTCATTCATACAATACATTTAGGTCCATACAGACGTTGTATTCAACAACAGACACACACATTTCATATCAAGAAGCACAAAACCATCAATACACCAAATACAGACATGCATGTTTACATATAAAATAAGCAAATTTTGCTGGAAAATTACACCCTGGATTTAGTTTGTTACCTACTGATTCAACATCTACCAAATCTCTATATTCTCTATTATACTCAGTACTGAAAATGAAATGATAAAATAAAATTTATATGACACTGAAAACTAATCAGTTTTAGAAAATTTATCAGCTTTGTTATTAAACCTGTAGATTGTAATAAGGAGAAGCTGTTTCCTCAAAAAGGCATACACACTTTGCTTATATTTTACTCACAGCTGCACATAAACATGCAAGCATGTGCTTGCACATGAATGGCTACCTTTAGTGTAAACTGATATGGAATTGTTCTGAAAGTACATTCTTCTGTAACACCATGGAAAAGTTTTATTTGATAATACATCCTTTCCATGAAGAAATGTATATTACTTTTAAAAAACCCTGTATCTGTTAAACAAAGAAACTCAGAACTCCTGTTTCCTACGGTAAATCAAGCAGGCATATCAAGCTGATGCTCCTTACAGGACTGATTACAGTGACACTGTGACACTTGCTGATTATAAATCACTGTTGCAAAGAAATGTACGAAGTAAAACTCCACAGCCGCTTTCACTCTTTGACAGACAACATGCTACTCATGTATCTCACTAGGGATGAGCCCAGGCTTGGCGTGCCAGGGTCAGAGGGGAGATCGACGGCCCAGCTCAAGTGTGTCTATACCAACGCACGTAGCATGGGCAATAAACAGGAGGAGCTGGAAGCCATTATACAGCAGGACGGCTACGACTTGGTCGCCATCACAGAAACGTGGTGGGACAACTCGTATGACTGGCATGCTGTCATGGATGGCTACAGACTCTTTAGGAAAGACAGACCAACAAGGAGAGGTGGGGGAGTTGCTCTGTATGTGAGGGAGCAACTGGAATGCATTGAGCTTGGCCTGGGG